TGATTAGGTAATTTTACAAAGACAAATTAGACAAGTAATTTATGTTTGATTCCGCAAAATATATAATATTTAAAGATTCAGATGCATGAAGGCAAGTCACTACTTGTAGGAAAATCATTAAAACTCTCCTTCTTGTTGTCTATGGAAATAAACAGAAGTAGTAAGACATCATTTATTACCATTATAACAAGTGCTATTTCATGTTTCAGTGCAAATTCGCCTGAATTATATGACTAAAATTCATTTCATTAATTTATGCTCTCGAATTTCATTGAATGTGAGACATAAGAATAGTTAGAAGTATTACTGGAAAATGCAATAAGATTGAACATTCTCGCGGTGGAAAAGAGTAATGTTAGAAGAGCTACAAGAATATGGTACCAACTAATGTTGCGTGGAATTTGTTACAAAATTAATTCAAATACAACTTTTGCTTCATTTAGTTAGTGTTTCAGTAAACGCACAGAAACAAGTTTTGGCCCAGTTATGATGGATGCGCGAATCAGAAAAGATGCTATTAATTCGGCTTATTACTGTCAGAAAGACTGACCCTCATAGAAACTTCAGAAGAAGCCTTTTCAAAGTAAAGCAAATCCCGCACGACATCAGATCCATGCCCAAAAAGCATTCATTCGATTCCATAATGGATTGTTTCTTCTCTAATCACTGCTTTTTTTCTCTTGACAGTCTCTCGTTGATGCTTTTTCAAATTTCTCCAAATCTTTTTATTTCACATTTTTTCAATCCTTAACATAACAATTTATGAACAGGAAATCAAGGAAATGCCTAAACGCATTTCAGTAAACAAATTTTGAAATCTAAATACAATTAATGACCAAAATTTAATTAATATAAACAACAAAACACGAAAGCAAACGTTAAATAAACAACATAACTAATTGCGAAAAAGGCACTGACAGTTATTTAAAGAAATTATGACAATCGCTTCGCTGTAGCCTGACTGATAGTTGACACACATCGGTAATTCACCAATGCTCTTAAATTTAAATTAAAAATTAGTAAGTCTAAAAAAGTTTTGGGGCTGGAAAATAGAAACTACTTCATAGCGATTTTATTAATGCGAGGACGAAAAAACTATTTGATTAAGAGTCTTTCCCCGGCAACAACATACTGATACAGGAGGAACCTTTTATAGCTAGTTACTACTGAAAAATCTATGACAAGAAGGAGAAAATGTATATATTTCACGCAGTGTTTTGAAACCTTTGAACCATTTTCAAGAACAGACACTAACCAACGTACCCATTCTCCAAAATTAATGAATAATTTAAACACTAACTTTCAATCGCTGACGCATCATCACACTTTCGAATTGTATAATGATGTCTGGCTGCAGCGATCGAACGTAAAATACTAATTATTCCAAATATTGCTTTTCAAGTTTCCAGACTTCTCTTTCCTACAGCGAAACTGTTGTTGGTTTACAATATCTAAAACTGAAACCATATCAGATATCTGAAGAAACAGTTCACATACTTCTTCCTCTTTGCTCACACACAAAATTAAAAACTTACCTTAAAAAAAATCATGTTTTCAGCAGAATGGATGCTTCCTAATCTAAGATAACTGCATATTTTGATCCAGCAAACATTTTAATTTCTTATGTAGGCCATAGCATTCAGCTTCAGAGCCCACTGTGTTTCGGCCGTACCAGAGGAAATCGCAATCACGTGACTTCACGTTGCGATCCCTTTAACTTTTTGTTACTGCAGGCTTCGTTCTATAACGAAGCCTTTTTTCTTATTAATTCAAGCAAATACTGGCGATTTCATCTAAAAAGACACTTCAATCTAGTAAATAAGTGAAACAATTGCTGCAAATCAAGGAGCCCTTAAGGAAACGTAAAAAGCTAACCACAATTAAATGGCTTCGTCCCTCACAAAGCTTTTCCTAGTGCGGCAGTGCACTTAACCTTGAGTAGAAATCCATAGCTTTGGTATCTGAAACTGAAAACACATTTTCTCCTTAAAATGAAGTAAATTCATGACGTGTAAATGAAGTTCCGTAGTGGTCACGTGGAGGCAGTTTCAAGTGAATGAGAAGGGTTGTTCAAAGTAATAAATAGATATTGGCATCATATAAAATGAGCACAAGCAGATAGCAAAGAGCAGACTGCTAGGGACCGCCCCATCGAGTGACTGACTGTTTGACTGAGTAAGTGAACGGCTGACCAAGTGAGTGAGGGAGTGAATGACACGTATCTTTCAGTCCCTCGAAGTACTTTTTTCCATTCCATACATTCAAAGTGCAAGTTCGGTCGATAAGCCAGAATAGCACGTCTGAGTCAGAAGGTAAGACAGCAAGACGGACAGTACGTCTTAGTCTCTTCATCAATTTTCCATACGCAAATCACCAGTCCAGGTGACTCGTGGAAAAAAAAAAAGAAAAATTATTCATTGAATGTTTCATTCTTCGATACCGACAAACACCTAAGATCAGCGAATGTAAATGTTCCATTTTGTGCATTCCTTCTTAATTGGTAGGAACTGCAATCTCCAGGTATCTCGTATTAAGTTTAAGACTCGACGTGTCTGAGTTGGAGAGTGAAAATAGCAGACGTCAAGAAGTGTGAAGTCTTTCAATTAATGCAATTCTGGATGACAATTTTAGATGCATTTATCACACAGTAATGATTCCTGATCACCTCTAAAATAATAGATGTCAGATTAATTATGATACAAGTGACTTGTAAACATTTTTGAATATAAATTTATGGATTGTTCGTAAAGACACATATATACGTATTGTGCGTTGCGTCTATACCATGTTATATTGAGGCCTGCACGTCTGTTACGTGCATTTAGTAATAAATGGACTTACACATGTGCTGCATAGTATTCCGTACAGAAACATTGAAGACGAGAATTGATATAGATGAGATCTGCAAATTTCCACTGAAGGGATTGTGCTAACACTGGTCACTCTTGTTAGTTGAACAGAACAAATTATACAAGAATTGCTAATAGAATTAACTGAGTGAAATTCATGCAAACTCAAAAGTTTGAAAAACAAAATGCAATCTTTCAAATGTCCAGTAGCATTTATGTAGTTCAGCTTTAAGTGCATAAAAAACGTGAGTCTAACCCAAAAGATTTTGTTTAATTTGACTTAAACGGTCAAGTCAGTCAGTTAACTTCGATTGGCAGCCATCTAAATATTATTTGCATGCTCATCTCTCTTCATTAACTTGGCAAATCTGAATGCACCGTGTAGTTTCTTCTTTCCATAAACTTTTCAAAACATTACTTATTATATCACTTGCAAGTGTTTTTTGTATCTGTTATTATGACCACTTGTTTCGCTTTGTACACTTTCACTTTCTTCGCATCATCTTCACAACATTGCACACAACAATAAGCAGAGATTGTGAAGGCTTTAAATACGCTTCAATATGGTATTCAAATTAATTTTACTTGATTCAGATTGTCTCAGTGCTCAAAGTCTAGCTCACCTGCCGAATGAAAAGAAACTATTGTTAATAAGCCACATTGATGCTTGCATTTTTCATTATTATTACTATCAGATTTTGATAATGTCAACTATTTTGATGGTACTGCGTGCCTCTGACTGCTTTACAGCGTTATTTGCTTGCATTAAATTTTTGTATTATATTAATGAAAAAACAAAAAACCGTTTGTTGTACATGATTTTCAGTACTGTATGAAATTGGGATGGCATATAGTGTTCCTTCTTTCTCCATTCTCATTTTGATTTTTTCAGTATACAATTATTGTAATTATGTGCAAGAAGGAAAACTGTAGTTTTCACGGAATATTTGGGTAAAAAGCGAAAAAATTTATGCGAGCAGCCTAATAGTTTAATTTCATTTAGAATTCACAAATCACTCCAAGAAAAACTAAGCATTATTCAGCTAAGTCATGCAGTGAATATTCTGACTGTGGGTGCGTTATGTCAGCAAATCAGTGATTAGTACGTATTAATAGTTTTAGTGGTAGTAAAGGTATGAAAGTAGTAAGCAGTGATGATATGATACCGGTGGATATGTCGTTTGGTGTAAGTGATGACGTTGAGAGGAGGAGACAGTAACTGCTGAAAAACAATAGTAAATGGTAGTAATGAATGAGAGATAAGCAATATTCATTAAATAATAGTGCAAAATGTTGGTCTAGTAACTGTGAATTTAGTAAACAGAGATGGTAGTAAGCATCAGTGTTGGCAGCAGTGGCTGCAAACAGTTGCAATAAATGGTCAGTAGTACTAATTTTAAAAGCAGTTTTTGACAGTGATAATTGTGATTACTGGTAATAGTAGCGGGATGTAATGTAGCATAGAGCAATTAAATGACAGGAAACAGCAGGAAATAATAGAAGTACTATTGGTAATAATAGCGGTATGGGCAGAAGTGATAAGTGATAAATGTGATATTTTATTTTTGCATAATTTTGACAGTAAACGTGTAAGTCAATAAAAGTACAGTAAACGTAGGTCAATAAGAGCAATGGTGGGGGATAAAATATGTAAACGGCCAGGAGAAGAGATTGAATGTGGAAGGAGAGGGCATGAAATACGCACGAAATGTACATCGCCCCTCATGTGCATCAGTTATTAATACGTATCGAAGGACAAAAGATGCTATTCTTTTTTTGTAAACAGATATTTCTAGAACTTTGCACCTCATAATACTGATGTCATCTCTTTTTGCTCTGAATCACTTTTCTCTCATTTCAAATCTCGCTTCACTGGATCAAGTCTTAACCGATCAACCCAAATCTTACCTAATCGGAACATACCAAAACAATTCAAAGATTATCTATCTCCGTTTCGAGTCCAAAATTTTCATATTGCTTTTTCAATCAAGTGGGTGGAGCTACTTGTGGCGAAGTTGCAGCAACTTTTGGGCACGAAATCACAAATTATTGAGTGGTTTTTCAGTTGTTTCACGGCAAGGATTAGCGGAGTTAGACTCGAGAAGTTACAAGTTGTAGTGTTGACTGCATACTCAGTAAGCTCTGCTTCTGATGAGCGAGGAGATCGTAACGCAAAAAGGCTGTGATGACGTCACGGGGATTGATGTGAGTTTTATTTTTATGTGGTAGTACTGTACAGAGAGTTCTGATCAAAGTGGAAAACAAAGTAGCTTCCAGTACTCTGATCAGAAATCTGTGTATGGGAGAGACTTTGCTCTAAGCGGATTTGATTCTCATGAGACAAATGGCAGAAGGGTAGGAGTTACCGAAATGTTGCATCTGTGAGATATGCCATAATGCTTTAATGTGTCACTCTCTGTTTCCTTAGCATATTTTCCTCACCTTACAAGTACCTTTAATTTGTGATTCTAATTTTTCCTACATTAAGTGCTTCTGTTTTATTTACATATCCTGATTTATTCTTTGGGTCAAAGTAATTTTAGACATTGGACAAAGAAGTATGCAAATAACAGATTTTTAGACCATGGGAAAAAATAATGCTCCAATAACAGAGATAGCAAATTTGAGAATTGCAAACAAACAAAACAATCCTTGTGAGGTGCGGTCTGAGACGTCAGAAAAATTAAAGCAGTCCGTCGCGGTTGAAAAAGCGAAATCGAGAGAGCAAATTAAATTAGAGCGTAAAACGCGAGCTATAGAGGGAAAACTCAGAAAGGGTAAGAGTGCCTCACAGCTTGTAAATTTATTTTCTTGTAGATTTTGATTTTGAGATGGTATTAAGAATTCATTTCAGCATTTTTGCTAATGTAGATTACTTTTGAGGGTACTACATTTATCATGAAATATGTGCTTAAGGAAATTTATTTCCACAGCAGGCATCACTTACGATTTTGATGAAGTGACGTAGTCACTGGGAACAGTGACAGTTATTAGAATGTTATGTTATTTACAAATTTCCAGTTTTAGGGAAGCTGTCCTCACCTATTATCGGATGAAAAAATGTTAGGTTTGTGAAAGTATAATCATAATTAAACTGCTACAGAAGCAAAGAAGGCATTAAAACAAGATAAAAAATCAGCGAATGAAGAGAAATTAAGCGAAAAATCTCATGATCGGGAGGAAATTGGAGATAAAACAAGTGGTCGACGACCTTATATCAATCCATTCACCATTAAGAAAGATCCAGGAGTTCCTAGTCGTTTTCGATCTTCACAGCCTTTTAGGGCAGTTCATTTTGGTTTGTAAATTGAATGTTTATCTTTATTGCTGTTAAATGTTTATCTCTTAAAAGTACTCAGTTCTACCAACTTTTCAAAAATTTTTATTGTGCAGAAAGTTTTTGAATTTATGCTAGAAATGCAAGTCTATGGTTTAAAAACTGACAGTGAAAAATGTCATGATGAATAATTTCAATGCTTACAAAGTTGGTTTGTGATATTGACTGGAATAATACTGTAAATTTACAAAACTTTTATAAAAGTATTTGTCTTTTAGATATAAAAACATATGATGAGGAAAATGAAGAAGACCCTTCTAATCAGCCATCAGTCTCAGAAACAGTCGCACCTGCGATACATAGTTCATTTCTGGAGTTTGCTAGCAGGTATTCTCATTTTTATTGCCTTTCATGCAAGGAAGTTATATTCCGAAATATTGAGCCAACAATGAAATAGGTCAAGAATTATAAATTTATTTTTCACTGTATAGTTTTTTGATGGAAGCATTCGTAGATAGCAGAACATTTGTAAGTAAAGCAGATATTATGTATATCAGTCTGAAGTTAATTGTATTTTCTCTCACAATTTCGATATTAGTTTCGAAATATTATCTTTAATTTGTACTTGATTTTTCTAAAGTTTATTCACACATATTTTAGGTGTAAAGCAAAACATATCATTGGTATCGATGCAGTTTGCGTGGCGTTTGTGCAATGTTTCAAACGCGTAATTTTTATTATATATGCTTATTTCCAAGTTTCTAATAAAGTTCTGAAATTAAAGACTTCTTAGCCCATCTATTTTGTTTTTGAAAATTTTGAAAAGTCAAAAGCAAAGAAGAGTGTTTTTTTTAATAGTGTAACTGTAACCAAAATATAGTATGACTTGTTAAAAATAATTGTTAGCAGTCTATGTAGGAAAAATTTCGTAACCTCTTTCAGTTTTTATCTCACTACGTTATTTCACCCAATCAGATCATGTCGCGTGATCTCGACCAATCCATGCGACACCAGTTAGGGTAAGTAGTTAACGTTAATATTTATATGGAGAGTGGTCTGGTCCATTTCAAGAATTTTTTTATTTTATTGTTATAGGTCTTTGACTGAGAACGGAAAACATCCATTTCCGCCTGCACTGGGTAATCTAATACGGCAATTAAAAAAAGAAATTAGTCAGTTGCCAGATTCCATTTCTGAAGATGAGGTATTGTTTTATAGTATAAAATATTTTTGCAGAAAAGTAAAGAATGCTACATTAGGTTATTTTCTGTTTTGAACTTGCCAACATTATTGAGGAAGTTATAATTAATAAGACAATATATCTGATTTTGAAGGGGAAGGAACGCCTTTGTCACTGGTTAGACGATTTTGTGCATCAGAATTTCGAGCTTGCTTTGCAAACAATTTCTTCTTTTTGTCAGAAAAAAATGAGAAATTCATTTTTTGTACTTACATTTTCTTGGTTTGTTTTAAATGATTTCTTGATAAATCTATTGTTTTGTATCAAAAAAATCAAATGATTCTTCGGTTTCTGAAGTGCGGGAGGAATTGAGGTCATCATGTCAAGACTTTATTCTTAATCTGTAGTTAAGTTTCAGTACTTGTGGTCAAATACATTTCTAAAATGTGTCATCGTGTTTACTGTAGGACCAAAGTATTGGATATTTTACAGAAGAAAAATAGCTCTATAGATGTCTTCGGAATGTTTTCTTTTAGATATACATTTGTGTTTTATCATAGTCCATATCAGTAATCGTGAATATAATTTCAAGGTGTCCAGTAGTGGAACGGATTATTTTGGATGCTTATGATAACAAACTTATTTTCCATGTACACGTTTTGGATTCACCTATGCACCACAGAGGTTATTAAAGTTCATTAAAACAGTTCTCTTTAACTTCTGTTCACTTTTTAGGACAAGAACTACATGTATAGCTATTTTTATTTTTCAGGAAAACAATTAGTAAAGACTTTATGTAGTCGGAAAATTCACTGCAGTTATGCTATGCTTTCTGCTGTTGGCTATTTGATGAACGAGGTTAGTTTCGCTTCAAAATAATTTTAATACGGAATAATATTGTATAGAATCACTATAAGAAAGATAAAAAGTATCCTTGATTTGAAATTGCAAAAATCTGCACCACTCTTTTTTTATAAAAACACTGCTTCATCCACTTGACTATTTATGGAAGTATAGTTCACTCATTGTAGTGTGATATGGTCTTGTTAGGGTGTTCTGCAATTTTATCGAACGGATTTGTGGTAGCAGATCGCGGTGCTAGTCAAGTGGCGTTGGTTGCATCTGCTTCGAATATTCCAGTTTTAATTGCTGCGCAAACATGCAAATTTGTGGACCGGGTTGCTTGTTTAAGTCTACTTGTTGATATCTTGAAGTTTTACTGTTGATACAGTTGATATATCTAGTTCCTATGAGTAGAGCTTATCTTTTCATTCACATACCACAATTTTATTTTAGCTTATTTCCAGGTGCAGTCATTTGCTGGTGGTCTTCATGAAGTGAATGCATTGATGTGTGATAGCAAGGAAGTTATACCTGCAGATTTGGTAACTGCATTAGTTACGGAATTACGTATTATACCACCGAGCTCCGCACCTGCTGTATTAAAAGCTAAACAACTTGCTTTTGGCTTATAATATATGGCTTATCATTCTTAGTATTTTAAGTCGCTCTTATTTGGTGCTTATATTCTTATTCTCTAGATAAAAATGTAAACATTAAATAAGAGTGGATTAAAATGATGGAAAATAGACCAAATAAAAGTATGAAATCATCAGATAAGAAATGTAAGCATCAAATAAATAGAAATGATTGATTATCTCTGTTTTCATCATTGTGTGTATGAAAAGTTCTTAATCCATTTTTTATCAGCTCTGGAACTTTCTGCTAAGTTCGTTCTAGTTATTTTCCACTAAACTGTGATGATACATTTGCAGCCCAAAAATGTCTCTTTGTCGATTTCGTCTCAATTATTTATAAAGTCATTTCTTCTCGTTTTTAATAATTTTCCGAATTGTTCACGAGTTTTGTTTTGAAACTGTCACCGTCTTAAAATATCTCTTTCAAACATCACAGCAATCAAGACTAAATTTGAACGTTCATTTTGTAAGCATTTAACAGCTTATCATGATCAAATTAGATCTTTCGAATACGAGCACTGACTTTATCAGTTATACTGCATTGGATTGCTTATCATTTTCTGTACTCGTTTTTGATAAAGAATATTGGTAGTGCTGCTTTCTTTCTTCTATTCAGCGTTCTTTGTTACGCTTTGGATTTATATCATTCTTTAAAATTTTTATGTATTTTTCCTAACTTGTTCTGTGGTTTTTCTATGTGAAGACTGAGATTAGAGCAAATGTCGCTAGAACATATTGGCGGTTTTAAGTGGCATCACGAAACAAGCAAACTGGAAAGTGAGCTGCAAGATCGTGCATTAAATTAGTTGCAATTAACTGATGATTGGTAGTGGAAAGGAAGAAAGAGAGAAAAGGGAAGATGTTAATGTCTTAAGCATAGTACATTACGTCCCAGTTAACTGTGTACATAAAATTGGGAATTAAGGATCATTTGGGAATTAAGGAGTCTATTATCGTGGATATGAGTTTGTTATCCGGTAAATTTTAGTACTCGCGAAGTGTTTTGGGATTTATTTGATCAATTTTTTAGAGGAAAGGATCACTCGACATGACTCTTCATCTTTTGAATCAATGGAAGAATCAACCGGGTGGTGCTCAGAATGCAAGTATGTATCTGGATTTCGTATTTAAGTATTAGTGCCTTAGGAAAAAACTTTAGATAGGGCGCAGTAGTGCACTTTTTGATTGAATGGGTCGCAGTTACTATTCAGTAAGTCGTAGTTTAGTATTGAAAGTGGATTTTAAGGATATGTTTGTTGCGGTCAGCTTCTAAACAACTTTGAAACAAAGAATGAAGGACAAATGTAGGGAGTTTGAAAGTCATAGAAGTTTGCTTTTTTTAAGGTGCGTTTTTACTTGCTTTGAAAAGTGAACACTCTTCGGTGCGCGAAAAGGCATTAATTATTGAAGCTTTGAGCGATTGGGATGTTTTGACGCCAACTTGGTTTGAAGTTGCTGACTATTTAGGTGTAATCGAAGGACTTTATGAGGATGAAAGTTTCCAACAACGTCATCTAGCTGCCCTTTTGGCTTCCAAGGTTTTATATTTAGTTATCTGTTTTTGTTCTAAGTTACATCAGCTTTTGTATTTCAAGTTGCATATTATCTAGCTAATTATAGTGGTAGTTTCTAGGTTGCATTTTGCTTGGGTGATTATAATGGTGCTTTACAACTTGCTTTAGCAGCTGAAGATAAGTTTCAACTCACTCCTCGATCACCATCAGTTCTGGTCGGTCCTCAAGATGAGCAGGTGGAGTAATCTTGTTTTTTGAGATTTTTTAAGAGCATGTCTAAATGATTAGTATTATGGGATTATTACTACTTTTTAATCTATGTTTTACCAAAATATTGGTATTTAAAAACTGAACGGGAGAAGAAACAAGTCAGTCATCAACTTATTCACAAATGAGATCAAAGGTTAAATAATGTGCTTTTTGTTTTTAATGCTGTATTTTGCAGTATGTGAATAAAATAATCGAGCATGCTTTGGATACTTATAAGCAAGCTAAGCGGAATGATGAAGAAATAGATCTTCGTTTAGAAAAATTAATTAATCGACTTTTTGAAAGGAATATGAAAAGACGAGAATTGAGATATGTCATCGGCTTGGCTTTGGATACGCGGAGAACAGATATGATTCTGAACGCAATTAAGGTAGAGTTTCTGTAAGACGGGTATTTCTATCTCATTATGTGAGGAAAATAAATTTAAGCTTTGCGATCGTTTCTGTCGAATAATTTATTAGAAATTATGAATTAATGGTGTGAATATATTATGATCAAATTAAGAGCTGAATGTAGAGTCTCAAATTTTCATATAAATTTAATTTGTATGAGAACGTGAGATAATTATAAATTCTGACCTCAACCAAAGCTGTACTCTTGGTTTTCTTGATTGAGTTGCAGGCCACTGACGATCAAGCAGGATTATTGACTGAAACTGTAGCAAAAGTATTGGAATCACAAATGGATTATGCCTTCCGAAGTGTTGTATTAGATTTGTTGCTTCGATTATTTGCTGAACTAGAAGAACCAGATTTTGTTTCAATGTGTCAGTGTTTGATTAAACTTGAAAAGCCGGATGATGTTACTGATATCCTGCAACGACTGGTTTCAAATAAGGTGATATTTGAAGTGTATTGGAGATTTTGTGTTAAACTTGTCGTGATCACTGCATACTAATTTACTTAGGAGTTTCAGTAACAACTAGTGCTTCGTTTCAAACAAAAATCTTATTGTGATGAAATTATTTACTAAGTTTGTGACATATATGCTATTTATGATTACAAATGATTCCTAATATGTTTCTTAATTTTACAGTTTTAAACTCCATAGGAACTTTTTAAGAGAAATTTAAAGATGCATCCACTTATCTGAGGGTCATGTGTTTAACTTCGACTTTGTTATCGATCGAATTCTTATAAAATACTGGTTCTTCAGGGTGATTACGGTGTGTTGTTAGCTTATCAAATCGCATTTGATTTGTATGAGAACGCTTCGCAGCAATTTATCAGTAAAATAGAACTGTCTTTAATGGGCAATGCGAATGCGGAAGCACCCTCAACAAGTAGTGCGATACAACATGCGGAGATAACAAATGAAGCAAAAGCGTTAGTTGAAAAAAATACTGATTTTAAACATTATTTTGTACTTTCAAAAATTGGAGCATGACTAGGTTGTTGGAAGTCAGTTTTGCATGTATTTCCATTATTTAAGTGAATTCTGACTTGGTTTTGCATGTAGTTGATATTTAAGGTCTACGGGAGAAATTCTCACTTCCGAAGGAGAAAACAGAAAGTCAGATGAAAATCTTTCTTCTGAATCGTTGAAAGAAAAAGAGTATGTGGTTTTCGTCACATTTTGTTTTTGAAGACATCAGATAATGAAATTTTCGTAAAATTTGAGTAGTTGTACGTTAAGCAAAATGTTTAAGAATTTTGCGTATGTAGTAGAAATAATTAGTAATTTGAGACCAGTTGTTGTAGCAAAGGAAAAGAAGATGACAATGAATCATCAAGCTGTTCGAAAAGTACCGTGGTTCCTGAAGTGCCAAAAAGTTCGGAATGTTCGACATATGCAACACGAGAAACTGCAAACATAGAAACTCGTCTTGCTGAAGGATCGAAAATAGAGGTATAACTTTAAATTTCGCAGTGAATCTCTGTAACATGAATTGATGCAAAAAAGTAATTTGCTTATTGAATTCCGTGTTCAGAGATTCATCACTTTTATACCTTTTATTTTTTTGCAGGAAAAGTAATGTTAGTTTGTGTTTTTATGTGTCAGTTTTTAGGACAAAGTAGTCTGTGAACGTTTGTTATCAATTTTACGGGGAGAGCAAACTATCAAGCATCATATGCAATTTCTAATAAAAAATAATCACACTGACATGTTGATCTTAAAACAAATAAAAGACAGTGTACGAACAGCTTCAGCACACAATGCTACAGTAATTGCCAATGGCTTGATGCATCTGGGTACAACTACGGACGATTTTCTAAGGTTTGTTTTATTTCTTTTCTACTCTTGTTAATAATCAAATTCATACAATCATGACAGTGCTAATAATGTCAGTAGTATTTTGTTGTTGTTTTTTTTCGTTTTAAAAAAAAATTTCACTTCAGTTTCTGATAAAATTCTTCCTGAAGTTTGTCGAGGTGACTTATCTAAATCGATGATGATACGTTCATTTCAGGGAAAAAAATTGTGCTCATAATAGTGTTATGATACTTGCAGAGACAATTTGGAATGGATAAGTAAGGCTACAAACTGGAATAAATTCAATGCTGTAGCATCACTTGGACTCATTCATAAGGTTTTATTAATTTTATAAGTTCAGAGAGCCTTTTTGTTTTGAATTTGTTATTGTCGTCTTGCTTTTCAAGGGTCACGAGGCAAATGCGTTGAAATTGTTAGATCCATATTTGCCGAAAGGAGAAGCCGATCAATTCGGTTTTAAAGAAGGTGGTTCAATGTATGCTTATGGTATGTGCTTGGAAATTCTGCTAGGAACAGTAATAAGAGTTTAAAAAGCATATAACCATTTGATTTTAGTTTGATAGGATGAAAATAAAGTAGTTTAGTTTCAAATGCAGGTCTAATTCATGCGAATCATGGCAGTACTAAAGTTATTGCTTATCTTCGTGATCAGCTGTCGAAAGCAACTACTTCAGCCGTACGACATGGAATCTGTCTTGGTCTTGGTCTAGCTGCGATGGGAACTCATGATGAGCAGGCCAGTTTAATATTCTGCATCATATCAAATATCATTTGTGTTTCAAACTTCAACTCTAAATTAGAACACAAAAGATCATATTTATAAAGAAAACGTTTCCAACCTAGAAATGTAAGATGAAAATTGATCTGCAGTCTTCAGGTATTTATGCAGTTACGTGATTGTTTATATCAAGACGATGCAGTTACTGGTGAAGCTGCAGGTTTGGCTATGGGTCTTGTCATGGTTGGAGGTATGCACGCTGAGGCATATCAGGAAATGGTGCAATACGTATGTGATACTCAACATGATAAAATTCAACGTGGTTTGCGCGCCGGCATTTCTCTGCTTACTTATGGTTAATTTTACATGCTTTAATTTTTTGACATTAACAAGTACATGCATAAATTTTATCATTATCAGTTCAGTTTTTATTACATATGGATACAAGATAATTTCACAAGTTTTTGTTAAAGTCATTTTTTATATATCTAAACTTTTTTAGGCTGCTTGGAAAAATTTGCGACAAAACAGTATCGGAATATTCTGTTCTTTTGACTTGTTGGTTTTTTTATTTGATCATCTGTTTCAGGACAGCAGGAAGAAGCAGAAAAGTTGATATCTCCGTTATTAGAGCATAAATCGAATGCAGTCTTGCGTTCAACAGCAGTTTGCATGCTTGCAATGGCTTATGCAGGATCAGGAAAAGCAGATGTAGTTAGACGATTGTTGGCTAAAGTAGCAGCTGATCCCAATCAAGATGTAAAGCGTTTTGCTGTTATCGCCATTGGTTTTGTTCTTAGCAAGTTAGTTCTTGTTCTTTTGAAACAATTCATTTTCATTGTTTTCTAGAAAAATGTAATGAAAGAAAAATTAAAAAGTCAAGTAACTGGTAGTTTGCATACGGAAAATTTTATTGCATTTTAAGCATAAGGAAATGAATGGACAGAAAAAGTCTGAATGAGAACTTCTTTGGTCTTCATTTCCATCGCCAAAATGAAAAACAAGATTTCTCTAAATTTGGATACATAGATCAGCATCATGTTTCTGTTGCATTTTTTCTGCACTTTTTATTTTCTTTCAGTTCACTAGTATTGCAGTACTCTATCACTTTCTGTGTAAGCATTTAAATATAACTCTTTCATATCATTGCTTTTTAATAATTTTTGCAATGCACTGAAACAGAAAAATATAATAGTGACTATTTGCAGTGACGCAGAACAATGTCTAAGCTACACAGGCATGCTAGCTGAACATTTCAATCCTCATGTACGATATGGTGCAGCCATGGCTCTTGGAATATCTTGCGCTGGTTCTGGTTACAAAGTTTGTTTCTTTTTTCAAGAGTGTTTAAATGTTTGTTATGAGGAGATGCATTTATAATTTGTTAATCACTGTGAATAGAATTATTATTAGTCTGCGCTGTAAATGTCAAAGTCTTCTGTGAGAAAGACCTTGGCTAGATATTAGAACATCTCCGAAATTCATGAAATTGAAGCTATTGATTTAGTTATGGCCATTTTAAGGAAGCTATTGCATTGCTTGAACCTTTGTTAAATGCTAAAGAAAATTTTGTCCGACAAGGTGCTGTCATTGCGTTGTCATTCATTTTAATACAGCAGACGGATGCAATATGCCCGAAAGTAAATGAGTTCCGAAAAACATTAACAAAGGTTTGACATTTTGTGTAGGATTATTCTGAATAAAAGTCGGATAATAAAAAATCGTTAAAAGCTACTATCATATCATATTCTTTAGCTCAGTGAGGTTAGTTTAATAATATAGGAATCTAGGAAACATTTTTTTCATAATTATATTCTTTTGTAAAAGCTCTCTTGCTTACTTATGTAGTCTCAGTAAAAGTACCGGTGCCTTCATTATATTTTAAAGATTATTTCAATTTAGATGATAACAGAAAAAGGTGAAGATTCAATAACCAAATTGGGAGCTATTCTTGCTCAAGGAATTATTGATGCTGGTGGTCGTAATGTGACTATATCGCTTCATAATCGTAATGGTTATCCTGATATGCCAAGTGTTGTTGGAACCTTTGTATTTTTGCAGTATTGGTACTGGCATTCGTTGGCACATTTCTCATCTCTTGCATTTAAACCAACTTGCATAATTGGTCTTAACCTAAATCTTCAGGTCAATTTATATACTGAGTTTTCAATTGATATTGCATTGTTAATGGAAGTCGAACAATATTTGTCTTGTATTGTAAATTATAAAATTTGCTCAACCAATACTATTTGTTGATTTTAAGCTTAGTTTTAAATGTGCAATAAAATCATTCATAATGTGAATAAGCGTAGGAGCGAATTATCCATATCTAGAAGTTTTTATTTGCGTTGTCAGATTAATTTAAAAAAAAAGATAGAAATGAGTTAGTTTGTGGAATCTTTCTGTAAATTTTTGTTTTGTTGTATAAGAATTTTAAATAATGAAAATTTGCAAACGGAGAAAATTTTACCAGTCGTTTAATTATGATTTTTAGATGCCTAAAACTGAATTCCGCTGCAATGCAAAACCTTTAACTTTTGCTTACCCACCTCCGTTGGAAGAAAAAAAGAAAGAAGAAAATGAAAAGGTATTATTTTATGTACCGGAATTTTTCAAAATTACCTTTGCTTAACTCGTGTCACTAAAAGAACGAAAAGTAATGAATTTTTATTACTTGGGTTTATTTGAATTTCTTCGAAAACTGTTGCTAAACTTTAAGTTGTTTTCAGGTAGAAACAGCTGTTCTGTCCGTTACACATAAGAAAAAATCATCGGTGATTGATCGATCTGTTGTCAGCACTGCAGCAGCTAAAGAGGAATCGAAAGTTAAGGAAACTAAGGTAGAAAAAGATACCGATGACAAAATGGATGTTGACAGTGTATCTGAATCTGATTCTGCTGCGGCCGCATCAACTGCGATGAGCACAACTTCAGAACAGAAGTCGCCTGAGTTAAAAAGGTATTTTTGCTGTGCTGCAGTAATCATAAACTTTCGAAACTTTGCCTTTTAAACATTGATTTCAAAAAGTATCTGTACTTATCTAAAATGTTCATAATTTGCTTTTTTATGAAGTCGTTTCGAATAATTTCGTTCCACTAAATATAAAGCATCATACTATTATGGTTCTTCTTAAATATTTCAGTACTTTCTATGCAGGTTTATCTCATGGAACTGAGAAAATATTTCAGTTAGTCATCGCATACTTTCTTTGAAAATTATTTCAATATTGCTTTGCAGATTAATTTTTATTTAGTATTATTTTTAGCAAAGAGTCTGAGATAACAAGTTTTATGCTTCAAAATCCAGCTCGTGTTGTTCGCTTACAACTAAAAACTTTGCAAATACCTGAGAATAGTCGTTACAAGCCACTGAAGGCACTTTCTCAGGGTGGGATTATTATGTTGCGAGACAGGAAAGCTGGACAAGAAAAGGTTCTGTACTGAAAGTTTAATGGCAAAAAGGATACTATATATTATACATATATAAAGTGTATGAGCTAAAGTGATTGCTATGTATATTTAGCCTTTTTCAGTCTAAACTCAGTAAGTTTAGGAGGAGATTGTAGCACTAGCTGCAGCGGGTGGAACACGGGTGGATGGCAAAGGTTCCGAAGAAGCAAAACCTCACAGTCCTTTCGAGATTAGCATCACTTCTTACTAATTACTACTCATTGCGTTGAGCTCATGTAGTAAGGAAAAAAAAACATATCTGTTGGTCAACGAACTTCGTCCTCAAAAAATAGCGATCCCCAATCAAAAGTCACAGCTCGCCTGCAAGCTTATAAAGACTAAACCCATATCTTTTTTTATCATTTCGGTGTTACAGTTATTTTTAATAGTTTCAAAATCTTGATGATAAAACTTAAGTGTATTTCTGTCGTGCAACCATATACTGCTTCCAGTCTTAGTGGTGTCTGTCGAATTTCATGTACTCACATTTAAATATCATATATTCGTCAGATTAAAAATCGATACTTTTAGAAAATTTCTTCCTTTGCATATTTATAATTAATGTTGAGCTAACTATTCATGATGTGAAGTAAAGCAAAGTATCATTTGGAAACTTCTAATGATGTCAATTCAAAGCATTCAATTTAGGAGTGCTGTATATTATGTACTTCACATTCTCACTTTGACTAAGCCTCACATTTTTTTTCGGGTTCAGTGTTGTCAGGATATTAGCTGATGCTGGGACCACTGACAAATACCATTCAGTCATTTTGAAGGGAGCTAGAGCAGTATTTAGTTGGAGATAGATTCTAGTGATTGTTATCCTGCAACAGTTACCAGTATTACGCCTGAGTGAGAGAATAACTGATTATGTGTGACAGTTGCAACTAGTGACGATGAGGGTTGTGTAAATAAACCTTTTCAGATTTTTGGTTTATATAATTACTTTATTTATTCATAGCCTGCTAGTTTATTTCTATGTCTAATGCTACAGCTGGCCTGAAAGCAAGTAGGGAACGGTGCTACCAGTCACGAGACGAGTATTTTCAGTGTTGGGACAAGTATAATAACGCAGAAGATTCAAAGTGTAAAAAACTGAGGGAGATCTTCGTTAAGAACTGTCCGACTTCTTGGGTATGTTTGAATTTTTGAAGTTTGTGCAGAATAGTGGGCTCGACAGGGTTAATTCATCATTTCATATTGTACTCCACTTCTTTGAATTGGGTATTCCGTATTGTGAGCCAAAATATTCAGGTCTATAAGAATTTGTAATTGATGTTCTTGACATTACGTGAAGTTACATATTTTTTTCTATAAATCTTGGTAAAAATTATTTTACTTTTCATATCTGATCTCATTATTTTATTTAATTTCATGTTAGTGATTTTATCCATTTGTTTCAGGTTTCCCATTTCATTCGCAAACACAAATACGAAAAGTATAAGCAGAAGTTAATTGATGAAGGGATTTTAGTCACAGATATTGATAATGTTGATAAGGACCAAAGTTCTTCGATACCTTCCTGAACTGGTAATACAGCTAAAAAAATTTATTGATGTCAAATTTATTAACTGTGAGCAGAAATAATATTTATTTATAGTTAACTGTGAGCAGAAATCGCATGTGTCTCTCACCATATAGAGTCTTGCTAAGACCGGTTTCGTCCTGTAGTATTCACTCTTCATCAAATCAAAGTCCTTCAAAGGTTTATGTTTTATAGTTTTTTGAGTGTTTGTTTCTGATTAATTAGTTTTCATTTAAAACTTTGAATCACTTCAAGTGCACAAAAACGAACATATTTTTTATTCTCACAAATGATAAGAGACTTTCATTATTAGAAATGGTGAATTTGCTAGCGTAGCAAGAAAGAAGTGTTGGAATGTTATATAAAAAACTAAGAGAAAGAAAGATTTATTATATGATTTGGATCTGAAATTTGAAAATGCAAATTTTGTCTTCAAGGGTTTGCAGTTTCCTAAAACAAATATTGATAAGTTGGCTCAGTGTGGTTGTGTGAATGATGTACTTGTCGACGTAAGTGTTGAAGAATTATGTGAACGTATGAAAGTATTCGGCGTAATAAAATATTTGGGTACACTGCGAACTCTGAAAGATGTTCGTTATCTAAAGACATGTCGTTTACTACTGAAACAGTGGGTTTATTCACAGATTTATTAAATGGAGTTATATGTTTTTTCAGCGTAGTTTTTTGGCTTGATAATTTCGAGATCTAGATTTTTAACACTGCAAATATTAAGATCCTTAAGAAATGCGTTTTCTTTTCCCTTTCCCTATTTCTCATTTTCTTTATATTTATATTTTTGGCCTCTCTGATGTTTACATTTTAAACCTCAGAATGAGTTCAAGGTTCAGTAGAACGCTAAATTTTACGATACTGGAGGAGTCTCTAGCTTTTATCTTTATTAGTTTATTGCTTAGTGGATACTGATATAGCATTTAAAATTTATTGATGTCAAATTATAGCTTATGCACTGCCTCGCGGTCGTTACCACCATATTTAGTGCTTGAAATGGCAGAAGTACTCGTTCATATTTACATGGAAGGGAATGTTGAAGCTTTAGACGAAGAATTGCGTCACAAGCTTTCATATTACACAAACACAGTACCGCCCTTTTTAAGACCGACCATTCTTTTACTCTTACAATCGTGCTCCCCAGTAAATATTGTACCCGAATTGCCTTCTAATATAATGTCAAGACCACTTGTCACCTTTGCACTTTTAGGTGATTCTTTTATCTCAAGTATTTTTCTTTTATTCCGAACTTTCCTTACTATTTTTTTCAGTGGAGAATATGTAGCATCATTCATATTTACACAACGTAAAACTGTAATCAGTGTGTCAAGATTCAAGCGGCGAAAAGTTCTAGAGTTTAGGAAGCTTGAATGGATGCAGAAATAGAATTTTCTGATGTAGTAAAATTTTTAGCTTACGATTTTGTGAACGAGTATGAATCCCTTTCTCAATTATCAAATTATTAGTGTCCGTTTCATAAATGCAATGCCTAAACAGTATTGTGTGCTATTGTCAAAATTATCTTAACTTGAGTGAAGTTGTCATTTTTATAGGTAATTATGCTCGGTATGGAAAAATGGATCTTTTTCAATCATTGCTATCAATTGAAACACATTTCGATTTGCTTCAAAATGATCAGTTATTACGGGTTTTGGCTTCTCACACTATTTTTTATCCAGCTATATCTTTTGCCTATTTGAAATATTTGTCGCAACGTAAGATCATTCTGTCAATTGACAGTATGTGGCATTTCAACTCCATTGTTCGGTCAGTTATGGGTAAAATATTGCTTTATGCTCTGCAAACTCAAATAAATCACTTGAAGATAGATTTATTCGTAGAGTATAGCTCTATGAATAAATTTGCAGTTATATAGCAAATATGGAACCACAACTTTCTCAGTTTGCTTCGTACTTTAATTTTTATATACTTCCTTTAATTTACGTTCAAAAAGGGGACATTGGAAAAGCGGAATAAATAGTTGGAAACAGAAATATCCTTTGTTATTTTGGAATGGATTTGCTTTGCACAGCTATTTTTAATAGCTACCAGTTAATATTATTTAAAGCCAGCAAATTTTCAAGATAATTTTGTACTAGCATTACTTTCAGATTATCAAGTTTTATGTTGTTTTTTGTTTTTGAATCGGTTGGATAATCTGTTTCGGCGTGATTAGATAGTCTGATTTCCTTAGCGTAATGTCTTATATGTCTTTCTTCAAAATTTTCATTTGTTTTTTAGCTCTTCGAATTGTTGGGATGTTAGCAACACCAGAATATTGGCAGATAGAAACTGCTCTATTTGTCAAAAAAAATTTGACGAGAATCCGGATTTTTCAGAAGCAGAGTTCAAACTTCTTAAGAATGAAATAATGCAAGTTCTTTATTACTTTTTGGATTTGAGATAGGTTTTTTCGTTTTTTAGTATATAAATATATAAATGTAAATAGATAAATAAGTTTTACATAATATCTCATAGAAGTTAATCTTTTTTACTCTTTACTGATTTTGGCGCTGCATCGTATTCTGGTTTTTTCGCTGCACTCGCCCTGCTGTTCTGATCGTCTTCGCTTTGTACTCGTCAAACCCATAACGGTTATCAAAGGAGATTCTTTGGAGCGTCTTCTTGAGAACTGTCGATTGAATATATGCTTCAACGTGATCAAATATACTGATCTCCTTCGCGTAGCATTTGTGAAAGTTCGTCACTATATCATCTCAAGTCATCACATACTGAATTATTTAGGACCTGCATTTCATCTCTGACCCAAACTTATTAGCAAGTGGGTCATATTTTCGCTTTTTCTCGGTCTCGACTGCTGTTAACCTGTCCTGACGAGTGATGTCAACTTCTATCAAGAATACTTATTTATCTATTTACATTTATATATTGCAAATTATTTGTCTATTACATTTATAATTGCAAATTGGGTTATAAATAAATAAGGGATTGTCGTATAACACCAGCATGTCCGATCGGTCCGTTTTTATTTTAATTGCAGTTCTTACTCGCGTCTCGACTCTGATTTCCACATTCTCATTAGCGACAATTTTTTGAACGGAATGGTTTTACACGGTGGGAATGCTTTTTATACCTTGCTTTTTGCAGAATCCTAAATGACTTCATTGTGCTTCTAGTATAGTGGTGATATAACATTTTCTCGCATTGCGTTGCTAGATGGTCCACCGTCTTTTCACGTTGTCGACAATGTGAGCACATACTTTTCTCAGCTCAAACATATTTCTCTCTTGGATTTGACAATATCGCGCTTCGTTTTGTGGGAGTTATGTTTCCGAATCGTAGCCACATTGATGAATCTGACATTGAGGCTCCCATATTTTTGTGCATCTTGTATTGCTTTACATGACGAATTTCTTTGTCAATTTTGCTGTACATGAAATCGATATCTCAGGAGATTTTGCCGATCCATGGTGCCTTTCAATACACTTAATCAGGTAATTGTGACTAGCTGAATCGAACGCTTTTTTAACGTCATACCAGGTGGTATATAACTAGTTTCCATGCTCTCTGTATATCGCTAGGCTTAAGAGTTCCTGCGTTCTCGCACCTTAAACCTTTCCAACAGTCCCTAATTGGTTATCTGCAAGTATAGTAGTCTTCTTGTGTCAGCTTCTAATTATATGACTCGTGCCAAACATTTCGTTGTCAACTTGTAAAGATTTGACGTGCAGGTCATTAGCCTGGAGTAACCTACGTCTGTTTGATACATCTTTAGAAATCAGATACGTTTGGCTTAGTAGAACCATATCTCCTATTCCTTCCATCCAAACAAATCCGTCTAGTTATTTTGTATAGATCTGGATTGAACAAACAGGAAATTACTTACCCGAATTCAGCTTCAAAGGAGAATGTATCAGAATTTCATAATCTGTAACAAATTCTTCCAGATATTCATTGTGCGGAATGTTATTATCTCTCATTTTCAAGTTCTACGTCGTGGCCCAGAAGTCTCTGATTTATTTTGTATCGACACTGTAGCTAACAGGCTTTACCTCGGTTATTTTAATCTAAAACTGCTTTCTGAACATCTCAATTCTGGCGTTTTGGATATTGAATGCAAATCTAGACTCATAACTTTTCATTTTATTTGTATCAACTCTCGCACGCTCTGTCAATGCCTAGGATCTCATGACAGTCACCTTTGAGAGTAAGTATGAGATCCATGCTTCTCATACAGTTTTTAGCCTCCCTCATTTCAAGTTTCACCGACCGCTCTATGAGGGTTTTGTGGAAGGTACTCAAACTTATCTTTTTTTCTATGCCTGCCTTTCACTGTGATGCCACTTCTCTTATCATGTCATATCTTCATAGCATTGTTGTGCTACCTGGAGCTTCGTTGAATATCGGTCATTGACTTAATAAGATTCTGTGAGGCATATTCACCCGCCGCTTGATTCACAGCTCCAATTATAATTTGGGTAAACTTTCTCCGATGTTATTTTACGCGTAATTTTTGTCTGGTTTGTCTCACGTCCTTGTGCTTCTTGCGTCAGCACCAGGTATTTCTCTTCTACATCTCGATAAGCCTTAAACTCGTCTAGCATGTTTTGCTCGAAGCACGTGTTTTGTATTTTGACACGCCTCGATGATTCCTTCAAAAACCGTTTCTGTGCGCACAAACCACCTGCAATACTAGTGACCACAGAATTCGCTTCCTGCTTCAGTTCTTCGAGGATAACACACAAAAATTTCTCGCTATGCAGTGAACGACACTCATGCTTTTATAACTACATAATGTTCTTGTAGATACCGCATCAATTTGTACCAGGAGAGCAGCGATTTGAAGCAGATGAAAGCTCATAACAGTACTTTGCAATTATTGGACCTTATCTGAAGTCTAGGAGAAATCCTACCGTCAAAAACGTATTGGCAGCCCAAAAGGCGTTCTTGTATAATGAAATAGAAGAGAAATTCACCGTGCAAAGCTATACAAGATGCGGACGAATAAAATCTCGTCCATAGTTGATTCATCAATATGGCTATGATACGGAAACATTACCCAGCATGATGAGGCACGATACCGTTATCTCCAAGATAGAAATATGATTGGAGGTGAGAAAGGTATGTGCCAACATTGTGGAGGACGTGTGAAGACGGTGGGCCATCTAGCAACGCAGTGCGAAAAAATTTTACAACACGACTATACTAGAAGACACAATGAGGTCCTATGATGCATCCATTTAGGACTCTGCAAAAAGTATGGTCTGAAAGCATTACCGCGCTTGCGAAGCCATTCTATTCAGGAGGTCGTCGCGAATGATAATGTTGAGATCAGAGTCGATACGCAAGTGAGAACTGCAATTAGAATAAAAGTGGATCGACCGGATATCATGATACACGATATGAAGTGACGTGAAGTAACTCTGATTGAGGTTGGCATCACTAGTCAGGGCAGGTTAACAGCAGTCGGGACTGAGAAAAAGCCAAAATATTAACCACCCGCTAATAAGTTAGGGTCAGAGATGAAATGGAGGACCAAAATAATTCCGTATGGGATGACTTTGGGTGCGATTGTAACGAACTTTTATAGTCGTTCTGCGAAGGAGACCAGTATATCTGTGCATGTTGAGGCATACGTCCAATCGATAATTCTCAAGAAGACGCTCGAAAGCATCTCTTTCGACAGTCGATATGGATTCCACGAGGACGAAGCGAGAACAACGAGTACAGCAAAATCTGAGCGCACAACGAGTACTGTCAGAGTGCCGAAATGCGATCCAGCGCCCGAACCAATAAAGCGAAAATTAAAACTAACCTCCACATTTCTTATATATACATATTTATTTATTCATTTTAATTTTTTTATTTTACTCATTATCTGCATGCAACATCATACTTTACTTTTTTATGAATTTTTTAGCGTGTATTTATCAAATGATATGAAAATATTCTCCAGTGCAACAGATCAAGAAATTTTAAATTTAAAAACCCATATTGAGCGAAATTTAAAGTCGTCCTGTGAGGTTTGTTTTGATAATGTTTTTAATTATATAATTTATTTGATAAAAATTCGGTATTTGAAAGGGATGTCATTATTTCATAGAAAACAAAAGAAACTTAATTTTTTTAACACACATAATGTATTGCAGTTTTGAATTAAAATGCGACATTGAAAATTTTCACAACTTTATTTCTATGTTCATTTCATTTCCTCAATTAATTTTGGTTCAGATTTATCGAACATTTTGAGCGAATTAGTTGTTGCTCTAATTTGAGTGATGCAGATTACCCAAACATTAATGTGGAAATTTCAACTCAGTTTTTATTCATGTTACGAACGTTTAGAGTGATCGAAAACTTGTTGTGGATGCCTTAAACGTTTTATATACTGGTATCAGTAATTTGTGGTTAGGATCTGGAATTGATGATATCTTGAAAAAATCGTTAAAAATGTTTAACAGCGTATTGCTTATCATTAGAAAAGGTGGTGACACGAGTCGTGTGTGGAACAAGCGTGATAAGTTCATCAACTCTCGTTTATCAGCATTTTTTTGTCACAGAATGTATGTTTTTACAAATAATTCATTTTAAGTAGAAATTTTGTTTTGGAATTGTAATGGAGAATTTTTATTGAAATATATTGAAAGCAGGAATTCTGTTTCCTCAATCAAAGAAAAGAAAGTATCAATGGTCTTTAGGAATTTATTTTTCCTTACTGCCTTTAGTTAATAACAATAATAATAGTTTGATTGATTGATTTGATTTCGTTATGCAAATTGTATTAATTATATCAAGTAATAAATAACGGTAATAATAGATCATGTGCAGCAGGTCAGAGATTAATCTTTTTTGTCTTCTTGATTATCACGTCAGATCATATTTTGGCACTCTCGATGTACTCGACCGGCAATCGGTCCTAATGGTTCCGGTGCACTGGTAGCGGGATTTCCCATGACCTACACGGTGCTCTCTTCGCCAGCCTCACTTGTTTTCCATTTGTTCTCATTTATGATTCCAGACTCGGCTTTTTTCCGTTTCTCTTCTATTTCCTGCTTTTATGCTTTGTGATGTGATCAACTAGCTGGCAGCTTAACCGCACGGCAGCTCGGCAGAGCCGAGCAATAACAGTATTAGAAATTAGTAATATCAGATAATATTGCTCGGCTGAGTTGCTATGCGGTCAAGTTATTTGAGGGGTCGATCACAAAACAGGAAATGGAGGATGAACCTGAGAAAACGGAGCCTTGACCGTAGAAGTGAAAACAAGCGGAAAACAATTAAAGCCGTAGAAAAAAACTCGGAGAAAGATATGAGAATCCACGGCGCTAGTGGAATGAGATGCTTTCGAGCGTCTTCTTGAGCACTATAAATTGGATATATGCCTCTGAAAGTACGTCACTATCCTACCCCAAGTCATCACATGTGGAATTATTTTCGTTCTGCATTTCATCCGTGCCCTGAGTTTATTGGCCATTAAATCATACTTGTGCTTCTGGGTCTCGACTGCTGTCAATCTGTGTTGACCAGTGATGCCAACCTCGATCAGGAGTACTTTGTACGTCGTCTTCTTAACGACAGGACGAAGTAGCGGAAACCAGTACAGCAGAACTGAGCGCAGGGCGAGTGCAGCAAAAGTGTAGAATACAGTCCAGCGCCAGAGTCAATAATGCAGAAAAGAAAAATGACCTCTGATAAGCAACCGTTATTATAAGATGATAATAATAGTCATTATATTCTTCGTATTGTTTGGTTTTGATAAAAATGTTCTAATTTGCATATCGTATTAGAACTGGTCATTTAAGGCATATTACAGGAGCAGTGATGACTTATTTGTATTGTTAGCAGCAATGGAACTCGGAATGAATACCTACTTTTTGACTAACGACTCGTTTATGAATCATCGCCAAATGTTGTCCCCGGCTGGTCAATCATTATTTGATAAATGGGTAGAGAAGAGAGCAGTTCGTCTTTATGGCAAAGATATAGTTGTTAGTTCGTAGAACTTGTATTTTCGGTAGAAATTGGTCTGGTTTAGCTTATCACCATTCTTGTTTAATGCAAAGCCAACCAATTTTTTGACTTTGTGTTAGGTTTGTGTGTTAATTTATTAAAATTTGTCTATCAGCGATCAGTTCTTTTGAACAAACACGAAGTTACGAAATCGGTTGGCTATAGAGAAATTCAATACTCCCAAAAACGTCTGTCTTGATTCTTCATGTCAAATTAAGCGCACTTGTTTCAGATGCCTTCTGAATTTGCTCCTTATGTGCAGGAAACGGAAAGCAGTTTTCATGTTCCAATCAGAACAGTTTGCAAGTCGGTATCTTCATATTCTTTTTTGTGTGTACGAAAGAAAGTGTGAAATTAAAGGGAATCACTGTGATTACATAAGCTGTCTTTTTGTGAAGCAACAAAAGGTAGGGTTTACGTCTTGAATGTGTTTTTTCACCGTTCAATCTGGAAAATCTGGAAGAACTTTGCATTGTAACTAGTGATATTGCATTTCTACATTTTGATGCTATAATTTTACTTTGTTCAAATAAAATATATGGTTTGATTCCCAGTATTATTTCAAGTATGGTCTTGTTCTAATATTACTCATTGGGGGAGCGATCGGTGAAATGATTTCCTTATTGCTTTAGCGGTATAAATTTAGCAACTTGATTTATTTCCCAGAAAATAATAGTTTTTGGGATGATGATCAATTAAAAATAATTGTTTTTTAGTAATGAAAACTACTGTAATATTCGTTCTTCAATGGTGAAATACACTCATATAACTGAGTGTATTTTTACATCTAAATTGCGTGAAGAGATAGTTGATAATCAAGTGATCTGCTCATTTAATTCTTTAGGGCTCTTGCTATTTCAGTGGAATTTTCTTCATATAGTTGTTTTTGAAAGGTAAGTGTCATATCCAGTTAGACAGTATCATTAAAAAGAGGGTTTTTTGTTGAGCAAACAATAGTAGTGATTAATTAAAAAGTCGGGAAACTAGAACAATGGATGTTGTCACTGCTGCTCAACAATATATATCAGAAATGGTCCGTTTGGCTGGCCCTGGTATGAAAGTACTGATGATGGATAGATTTACTGTAAGTGATAGAACTCTTGGGTAATTTCCCATTCTGTCATTAGCAAAGCTGCTGGCACCGGGATTTCTAATAAAAGTTTATTGTATTGAGAGATTATATGTAAACGCAAAAAGAACTGAATCTCATAGAGGTTTGTAGAAAAATTTGTTCCTGCTTTTACCATATTAGCTTTCGTGAACACAAGTTCAGCTTGCGGTGAAATGCATTATTGGACAGTAGGAAAAATCCAAAAATATCATATGTTAGCCATTTGTGAACATTATTTTTTGTAAAGACATATGATATTATTTTTAGACTAGTACTGTGTCTTGTGTTTATGCTCAAAGCGATATGATGCAGAAAGAAGTATATTTATTTGAACGCTTAGATTCTGGTGGTTTAAGGTATGGATGTCTTCTTACCTCATTATTCTTCACTACATTGATATTATATCAGTCAGTTTAAATCTTCAGAGAATCTATCAAGCATCTCAAATGTATTGCATTTTTACGTCCCACGCCTGAAATTATTGATTTATTATCTGAAGAGTTACGCTTTCCAAAATATGGCCAATATTATATATGTAAGTGTATTTTCTAGTCAAATGTGCATCTTCATAAATCATCCCGATTTGTATGTTATTCAAAAATTAATAAGAAAGTTTCTAGTTTTGTGTCATAAATGTCTTTACAGATTTTTGTAACATAATCAGTAAGACTGATGTAAAAGCGTTAGCAGAAGCAGATGACCAGGAGACGGTATTAATTCTATTTCCTTAACTGATCAGCATATATTATTAAAAATTTTTCAACAAATACGATTTTTTGCATGCATAACTTTATCATCTGATGCGGTAAGTGTAAAAAAGTTAAATCTTTAAATCTAAAAGACTTATAAACTTTATCGAATATTTCAAGTATCGCGCTTTCGCGCTCTAGGTACGAGAAATGCACGAATTTTTCATGGATGGCATTCCACTGTGTCCTCATCTTCTGTCGTTAAATATTCCTCACAGTTATAATTCATCGTTTTCTATCCTAAATACGGTTCTCACCCGATCTCTGCATTCCATTATTGCCACTCTGCTTGCTCTTAAAAAGAAACCACTGATTCGGTATGTGATATGATTTATTAATGCAAAAAAAGTTCCATTTCACACTGCCTAAAATTTTATTCGATGAATGATATTGGAGACAAAAAAATGTATGTGAAATGGTCAAGTTTTAGTTTTTATTTAGGTCATATTGATGCTATCAGTAAATTAAACAAAATATCGTTTTTTTTAATCGTCATTTTGTTAGAATTTGTAAGGGGTCCATATTTCTAATGTTTTAGGTATCAGAAATCTAATAAAAATAGTAAAACGCTGGCAGAAGAAGTTGCAAAAGCAATCGCTCGTGAAGAAAATTTATTTGAAAGTACCAAAACTGATACAGTGCTATTAATAATTGACAGAAGTGAAGATCCAGTGACACCTTTACTAAATCAGTGGACATATGAAGCCATGGTATTGATTCTTTTATACGATCGTGAGTGACATTAAATGATGTCTATAGTGGAATTGAATTTTGGAAATGAAATAACTTTTAGGTTCATGAACTTGTGGGAATTAACAATCATCGCGTGAATATGAAAACTGCGTCTAACACGGGTACTTTGATACTCTCGCCATTTAATGATTCATTTTATTCGAAAGTAAGGACCAATTTTAATAGTTCTTATGCTTTTAGAACCTAATTCTCACAATCTTTATCTTAAACTGCATTATTTTAAATTCTTCTAAATCTTTCAAGCCTTCTGATCGAAGCATATTGTTCAATATGACCTTTCATATTCGAGATAAATAGCAAGGTCCCATATATATCACTTGATGGAACATATCCGAGTGTTGTAGTTTCATTTTCAGAACATGTATGCAAATTTCGGTGAAATTGGTCAAAATATTAAGGAGTTGATTACAGAATTTCAACGAAAATCTCAAAACAATCAAAAACTTGAATCGGTAGCTGATATGAAGAACTTTGTTGAACAATATCCACAGTTCAAAAAAATATCAGGTGAAAGTGGCATGATATGTGGTTGTACTATTTAGAAATATTTTAATATGCTCGTCACATGCATTAAAATGTGATAATGAATCTAAAATATTCTGGCACTTAGAGACCTAGTAGTAGTAAGCTCTGTTAGATACAGAAATATTGTAACAAAGATTACTGTACGAGTTTTAATGTACTAAAGGGTTGTAACACTGAAGAACTGTGGAACGTGTTCCGTGGCAAAGAAATTTTTGAGAAACAACACATATTCTTTTTAGGCACAGTTACAAAACATTTGACGGTGCTCGGTGAGTTATCAAGATTGGTGTCTGTCCGGAATCTGCTTGAGATTTCCGAAGTAGAACAACATCTAGCAAGTGGCGGTGAACATTCACAATGTTTGGCTGATGTTCGGCGTCTTTTACAACATGAAAAAACGAGTGACCTTGTAACTTTTTAGCTTATGGCAGGACAAGTTTTCTGGAGCTTTGTTAGAATTACTAGCGCATTTTTGTGCATTTGATTTTCTCACTTTCTTTGAGAAAGAAAAAATTATTCGTAAATTTTAGTAATAATAAAAAAGTGCCTTCAGGTAATGAAAAAGAGTCGAAAAAAAGCAAGTTGAAGCTCTTCCAAATTGTGCAATAAGAGATTTGACAAGAGAAAAAGTGTATGCTGATGTAGGATGATTTTATGTTATGTGAAGTATGAATATGTATTTAAATGAATGATAGAATGCGAAATTTTTGCAGCGACTATTATTGCGCTCAAAATAGTTGTACATTTCGATTATTACTTTTATTCAGGATGCAACAAGGTTAGTAATGCTGTATGCTTTACGTTTTGAAAATCATGCCAACAGCGATGTTCAGAGTTTATTACAGTTGTTAAAACGCAAGGGTGTAAGCGGAGACAATATAAAGGTGTGTAGTAAAACTGTCTCAGCTCAAAAATTTCAGAAATATTGTTTTAGTGTAAATATGCTTAATCTAGTTTTAGATGATTCTACATTACACTGAAAAAACACATTCGGAAAGCACTCTGAAAAATATAGTATTAAGGTAGTGAAAGCTATTGTGGATTTTGGTGGTTCGGCGTGCCGTCAAAACGATCTATTTGGAGGAACTGCAATAGCAATGACAAAGCGTTTTATTAAGGGTTTGAAAGGAGTTGAGAATATTTATACTCAGCACGAGCCGTACATTACTGAGTTAATCGATTCATTATTGAAAGGACGTCTTTCAGATTCAACTTATCCGTATACTTTACCACTAATAACGTTGGTTTCTATTTGATTATAGCTAAAGTCATTCCCCTATTTTCATTTCAATAAAACTTGATGTTAACAAAATGGAGGCTGATAGTTCAAAGCTAAATCCATTTCATTTGAATTTCTAAAGCCAATCAATTTCATCTAATTTATGTGCTTATAATTTTTGAAAATGATTCTTCAAACTGTTCAGTATTGTTTATAATTAAGATGATCAAAAATGTGAACTGAGATTTAAATTGTTCCAGCAATCGCGTCGATAATATAATTTTGTTTATTATTGGTGGTGCTACATATGAAGAGTCACGAGCAGTGTTCATGGCTAATGAACGTAGACGAACTTGGCCTGGTTCACCAAGTATTATTCTCCTTTCCACCACAATGCTTAACACTTCTTGGTAATCATAAAATTTCTTCTAAATGATTTTCAAAAAACAAAAACGAAATAAATGTAGAATATGAGAAAGAAGTAAGAGCCAGAACATCGTATATATATTGTTTTTGTAGCATGAAATTGAAGGATTTCACATCTACATTCAGTTACAAATAGTTTATTCCCGTTCGGTAATTTATTCAGCTTCTAGTTTACCTTCGTCAGGGTTTTTAATGGAAAGCCCTCATATTTAATGTTGCGTGTAATACTAAATGGTTTCAGCTTCATTGAAGAAATTTTGGCGACATCAGCAGCACGCTAAACATTAAAATGCTTTCGTTATAATCAGCAATGAAAATACTAAATGTGGGCGCCATGATAAATTATTAATTGTAGGTGATAAAAATAGTAGAACATTGTGGTAGTTATGGGATGAAAAAAAACAAAAGTTCTTACATATTGTTTCATGTTTAAACTGCAAATATTTTTCCCCATAAAGAAGGAACGGGACGGAGTTTACCAGTGTATGTTAATCAACTCGTAGGTAACGTACTCTGTGAGAATGAACGATGACTCAGTCACCGTGTAAAAGAATTGTTACAGACAGTTGATGAGAGATAAGATCTTAATACGTGGATTGTACGTAGTGACCAAGTCAAGGTTGCTAAAGTATGTCAACGGGTTTTAGTGTTGTGTAGCAATACAGAATTTATGCGTATGGTACACATGTGGTGAGAGTATCATTTTCTCTTTTTCTATTTGTATTTTAGTCATGGATGTAGAAATGCATATAATGGCTAGGCAGTGTTGAAGGATAAAATGCAATTTAGTGATTTCAACGACTGAGAGAGTTGGACTAAGAGTAGTGGTTGTTGGTTAGAAAGTAGTAATGGACTGAAAGAGAATAAAAGTCGTGGTGAAAAAGTGATGTTTATCTTGGGTGCTCACAAGATTTGCAGCTAAGCAGAGGAATTTGCAAATTGATTGCAGTTTGTAGTTTTATGCAGTGGTGGACAAAAAAAACTAGTAAGAAATACAAGATGCAATTTCCTTGGCTGCGTCTTTGGCTCCTTGCAGTATATTCATATCGTTTCGTTAATCTTGCTAGCAAGTGGCGATAATTCGTCATGCTTTTGTATTTTTTGATTTATGCTTTTGTATATTCTGTTTTCGATAAGCAATGCTTATGTCTGGCAAGTTGAATGGTTAGTGAAATATGAGGTGCAGTGTGCATATGCGAACTACTGGTTTGTATTAATTTGCTATCGGTTGTCGTTAATTCCTTTATTGATTAAATGTATTCCTGATGTGTTTGGGTATCTGACGTTAGCACATGAATGGATAAGTATATATAAATAAATTGATATGTATAATTTGACTATGGTCAGTTATGATGTGTGTTCAAGGCACTCATTTTTTTTCGATATAAATTTCGCTAAATGTGCAGCGCAGCAGTGTCTGTAGCCTAGGCTTTGTTTACGTACATAGTGCTATGTTTGCTTTCGTATTGCGCCATTCAAAGAAATCTTCCAGTACGAATACCAATCGCGATATCTAAAGATACAGTACATGTATAAATGAGCATTAAATTTTTGTAAGAGGCAGTGAGGCAATAATTCTTGATTACTAAAATCTTGAGTTGCTGGTCCGGCTTATTAGGATTACTTTCTTATTGGAGTCGGATAGAAAGAAGAGGAGGTGTTAGAGCAAGGGGCAATAAGGTCATCCAGCTCGGACATAGCTAGCGGCATTCGTTTGTGACACAGCGTACGCGACACTCCTCAGTCTCCTGCGGCTGGCTGGAAAGGAGCGTGTGTATTGCCAGCTGGTGTCCACATTGCTGGCAAGGAATCAATGTGTAAATCACATCATGTGATTGGCATATAGTGCCGAGCAGTGCAACCTGCTACCATTAGTAATAGTAATGGTGGGCAGAGAGACAATGAAAGTCTGCCTTCTACTTGATCGATCCTCTTGAGCTGCGGACCGTGCAACCTTCCATTCCGCGCACTTACAACCTACATTATCCTAACTCACCCAGGGGCACCCTCCTGTTTTTTGCCTATACTCGTTGTGCGGAACACTTTGCTAACTCTTGATGTCACATCTAATCTTGTCCTCCGTAATTGTCGGCTAGTAGTAGATATGTGCAGGTAATATGCCGAAGAGTGCTAGCTGTAAGAGTTGTAAGTTGCTTGAGCGGACACCATGCTAATTACTTGATTCACCACTGACTGACTGACTAACTAAAGCCAGCATCGTCTTTAGATCTGCAGTTCATAACATCAGTGAGGTGTGCATCTAAAGAAGACACAAAGAGCTGCATGGTGATGACACAACCGACTGCAATCAGATTTATAGCAGCAGATATGAACAACAGCATAGGTTGCGAATGTGGTCTCGACAGAATTAAGAGTTCCGCTCGTTTGCGTGCCTCTACCTCCAACCCACTCCATTTTCCCTAACACTCGTCTCTCCATTCCTTCTCTCGAATACACACCACGCATATACATTCACATCTTCCTCCTCTGTTTCTAATCAATAATTGCACGCGTGTGAAGTAAGTGCACCTAGCAGTTAAATACTACCACTGCCATCCTTGTAAAATGTGAGATCATCATCATATTTTGCTTAAGCAAACAACGCTTCTGTTTAATTTTTCTAGTTCCTCTGTCCTAACCTCGCTTTGCTATATTCTCCTTTGTTTCCATGTACATTTATGCTTTCGATTCACGTATTGATTTATCGGGTAAAGTTGAACTTTGAGTGATGTAAAAATGTTCTCTCTGTACATGCTGATGATTGCTTGACTTTTTTGATGCTTGAAAATTTCATGAACATGTGGAAAATGGTTGCACATGTCTGCTGCGTGTTTTTTTCAGATTCTTGCAGCTTTCAGCATATTCTGAACAAAATTTTTTCAGATTGGAAAGAAGAATCCATTTGGTGGTGGCCCAACTTGCTTTGTTTCTCATTTCCGCTACATATTCGCTGATTATAGTATCATCTTAGAAATAAATATTCGTTAAATCCATACTTACTTCCTACTTTTATTTTTTTTCGAGTAAGTTCCAAGTACTTATTTGATTGATCAACTTTTAATTCATGTTATAATGGATCATATGTTTTGCACATATTCACATCGTCCATACTTCAAACTTTGCGACAATAATTGTTTGAGACTTCTAGTACGTTGGCAATAATTAAAGTGGCATTTGAATCTGATGCATTCATACATAGATGTTTTTATCACTTCTAGACGTAGTTAAATTCCTCAAGGTTATGTTCTCATTCTTTTGTTTAGCATCTAGTCTTTAGGTCATTCAATTTCCGCAATCACGATTCTACTCTTTACGCTTATCGCTGTTTTTGATCCTCTCTTACTCTGTTTATACAACTCTGCATGTCTTCCGCGCGAGGCGCTACGGGCGCCGTTAAACCTAAACTACACAACGTAAACAACGTCTACGCAGGAAAAAATCAGAACGCCGTCAAGGCGCCCGGTTCTTTTTTGCTTTCAAAATCTAGTGATTATTGAGTGAATAAATGAAGATATGATATAAATGTTTGAAAAAGAAATCCTGAGAAGTGGGTACATTATTTCATTTTTAATATCATTTTGTGTGGAGTTCAGTGAACACGTTATTTGATTTCTTAATTCAATTTTGAGTGAAGCTCACAAAGCAAAATGAACTTGATGATTTTGTCATCAAAAAGTTAGGGTGTATAATACTAGGTGTGGGCAAGCATGGTGGGCTGCAGAGTCTTGGAAAACCAGCGGCAGTGGTACGTCGTATGCCTCCACCGGCTACACTACCTTCACTAAGAGCTGAAAGTCAAGGACAAGATCCAAATATTGCAATAGTACCACAGGGTGGTACTGGTTGGGCTAAAGGAGATACAAATATAACAAATGGGCAAACAGCGGATTTAAAATCGGTATATAAAAGTTGAATAGAAATATAGAAGTGTTTTGGCAATATTAAATTCATAAAACATGAACTATTCCTTAAACTATTCAGAATATCTTAAGATTGTCATTGGAATAAAGTGGGAAATGCTTTGGAAATCGGAGATTCTATTTTGCAATCTCTAATTTACTTGTTTGAATTTATTAGTCTTTCAGGCGGCGAAGTCATCAAGTTCAACAGGATCTACAGCAGTATCAAATACATTAGGCAGTGGATTAAGTAGCGGTAGCGGACTGCATACTACTGACCTAAGACCAACATGGGCGAAACAGTCAAATGTTGCAGAAATGCAACCTGCAGCACAGCAGAATGTGAGTGCAGTATCAACCTCATCACGAGATTTCCCATCACTTGCCGCTGCTACAGCAGCTACGGGGAAACAAGCGAGCAACGTGTTAAGCGAAAGTCTCAAACCTCAAAGTTTGTTTTTATGGAACCACTAAGGTTTTTTTATTTTTCATTTATTGGAAGGGTTTTTTATCCATATCTTTATCTTGATTATTTCTTAAACATTGCTGGAAGTCTTTCAAACTAGTATTGCACTGTAACAGTGGTGTTATTTTGATAGGAAAAAACCGTCTGCTTACAGAATCCGGAAGTTGGCGAGCTGGAGGCAGTTCAACATCATTGAAAAACGAGAACGATCTACAGGTAACGACACCAAATTCGCATTTGGTTTCGACTTATCCGTTTGTTACTGCAGTTGCACGTATCACAGAAAGACAAGTATTTATATTGAATTCTTTATATTTTGTATTATTTTATTCGGATTAATAATCTGGCCAGTTGCAAGATCATCTTTAACAAGAATCCAGGACAACAAGATTATATTTTTTAAGTTACCATCTCGTTATTACGATACCATGGCATTGCCACCTCCACCACCTCCAAATGGCTCATTCCAATTACCAAAATTGCAGCCAACTTTAGCTCTTACGTGCTCTGGTCCTCTAGATATTTCGAGCAGTCATGCGTCGCACTTGGGTTTGTTTATTGTTTATATCTCACTAAAGTCTGTATAGCTACATGTAGCAGAATTGTGTAATTCTGGTAAAAGAGTTTTGATATATTGGCTCGAACTTCTGCTTCGATAGGAACTAGTGATATGATCAGAAATGTTTATGTCAGATTATTTTCGTATCTGCAATTATCTGTTCAATGATTGCAATAAAAGAATTTTGAATTAATGGAAGATGACTTGCTTAGGCTCCACAAGTGCTTCATCGCCGATGCACCATTATTCATCGAATGTTGCTGTCTTACCGCCCAATTACTCTCGACCGCCTCCCAATTATGTTCCAACACAGGTTAGAGCACAGCATTTACTTAATTTAAAAAATTTTCGTCTCTTTTTTTTAGCTAGTCGAGTGGTTTACAACCAATTTTAAAGAAATTTCATTCTTAATGCAATGAAATTACTTGCAGGACATTCGTTCTCAAAAATGTTGATATCTTTTACATATTGAATATAAATATAAGTCACGTAATACATTGTATGCAAGGAATCTTGTTTTTAGCCAGATTCAGTGCGAAGCGGGTCAGGTTACGGTGCGCAATCAAAATTTGCAGAAAACGAAGCAGATGGAAAGCAAGCTCAGCAGAAAAGTGGACTTGGCGACGAAGGTTGCAATGGCCAGTTTTTTGCAGAAAAAATAAATGGTTTCTCTCGTCGTATTCATCTTTATTGATTTATTGCTGCCTTGATTTTTTGTGAGAATCACATCAAATTCGTTTCTAGCTTGTAGTTGACTCAAATTATATCGTGTAAGTACTTAGTGATGAATAGATAAATTGTTGCTGTATGTAACTTTAAATTCAAAATTTAAGGTGTCAAAGATGGTGCCGTACTCGAAACTACTCAGCTGTTATCAAATGATGTGCAGTCAAATTATTCTCGTCGAATAATCTCTGACAATCGGTAAATTTATATTTTCTATCGCTTTGGAGAAATATTCCTTCGACCACAATTTTTTTAATATTATTGTATTAGTATGATAGTACTACTGGATAGTGCTATCAGGTAGACATAATCTGGACATTTAAAGGATTTTCAGAAGTGTTGATTTCGATGACTTCACCTCTCGATGTAAGATTGAATGGCAAGGTGCTTCGGAGAGCAATAATGATGAAGAAGCAAATAAGTGGCTGAGCACTGCTCATGTGGACGGTAGTAGTGGTCAAGATCCACAGTATGGTTCGGAGTTTTCATTGGTGTGTTTTTGCAGAATACTGTATATTTCTTTCTCTCAAAATATGATCTCCGAAACTTTTTTAATTTAAACCATATTTGTTTCCAGAATGGTTGTACTCGAGATAGAGATGAAGAGTTAGGTCGAAGGCAAAATATTGAGCGAGAAGCAGCTATTGAACGTTCACGTCAAAAAAGACGCATGGCCAGTCAAGTATGGATACGTCTTTTGAGCGTTTTTCAGTATTATACCTGAAATATATGATTGTTACTCAACTTAATTATTTTAATCAAAATCGTCCATTATTTTTGATAGCAGCATTGATATTAAAATACAGCATTGGATGTGAAAATTATATTAAGCTTCTAAAGCAATATTCATTCGACAGTATTAGTTGTTACTGCTTTATCTGTTTCATGCGACAAATCAATTCTAAGATGTACGCGCTTTTGAGTTTTTTATGAAGTTGAGTCGTCATATTTCTAAACAGAAGCGTTTAGAGCTCAGCGTTATCTGAGAGCGAAGCTGGTAGTGTACCGTCCGGTTATGGATCTGTCAGAATGATGAGCGCCTATGAAAATGATTCATATCCTGATTTTGAACAGTCAACTCGTGCTAGTTCTGGAATGCAGAAAGTAAAACACAATTGCACTTGAATATATAGTAGTTATTAATATTGAGAATCAATATTTTGGTTTTAGATCAGTGATGATTCGGTGGATCGAACTGGAGAATGTTGGAATGCTTTGAATAGTATATGCGATGAGCAAGAGTCGACGCAACGAGCTGAATTTCGAATGTTAAAACGTCCAGAAAGTAAAGGAGATATCTCACAGCAGCTATCTCAGTTAAGTGTAACAGATAGTCCAATAAATGAAGACGAAGATGAAGGTATATGCTCTTGAAATCTTTATAAATTTGAAAGGTTTCAGTGTTATTTTATCTAGGTATTTCGGTCAGTTTCTGACGTTTGATTTTGTTGAACACAGCTTTAGAACTGCAATTGACAAAGCTTTCACGGCCTGCAACAAAGATTATCAAACGAATGGCTCCTGGAAGTGACAGAACCAGTCAGTCATCTCAGACTGTAACTTCACAAACACAGCGTAAATCAGCGCATCAGCAGCATAAAAATGTAGACAGAAGGACTGATGATTCACGTAGTGGTCAGGTTTGTTTAAAAAAGCATCGGCGAAAGGTTATACATACTCATAATTTCTTTTATTTTCGTTTGTCATTTACATGATTTATTTCATTTTCGTTTGTCATTGACATAATTTCTCTTGTTTTCGTTTGTCTTGAAGTACGTCATGCATATTACCATTTACTATTAGCATGGAATGCAAAAATAGTTCTAAGACAACTTTTACCTGTATTTAAGATGTAGTTAAAAAATATGTAACATAGTTAACATAAATAAATTGTGTTTTTGCGTTTGTTATTGATTTTATTTTAGGTTACAATATTCTTCCTCTCCAAAATTTTTCGTTCAATTTTTTGTGAGATTTTTAATTTTATGTTTTGTGACTTGCAGACTTTGTTCCGCCGCGAAAAGGTTGAAAGTAGTCAGTCGGACGAGTGGGCTGTTCATAAGCAAAAAAATTCGTATGTTTTTGATCAAATTATTTTACTCATTGAAAAATTATATCCATATCAACTCTTAATGTTTATCGGTTTTTTAGATTAGTTATCGTGGGACAAGATGTAACGGAAGATGCACGTGTTGTAAATCTGGCACATAAATTGATAGCGCCGCTACCTGCAGATAATGTGTGGGAGAAACGTGCCGAGGAGCGTGAAAGTGCAGAACGGGAACAACGTGCCACACAATTAGAAGTCTTACATCAAATTGATTTGCAGCAGCAGCTCCCTGTGACTGATGAACAGTCAGGTCAATCAATATTTAATTAAGTTGGAAAGTATTGCATGGAGTGATACCTGTTTTTGTTCCGCTTGTACCTACAATTTAGAACTATTGATGTTCTGATTGGTTACAGCAAATAGGTGCTGGTTCCTTCGCAAATAAATTATTATAATGTTTGTGTGTTTTAGATGCAAGAACGGACGGATTGGTGGAAGATATGTTAGCTTCAAGGCGTAATGTAAATGCTTATGCAAGAACCGAGCACTTACATAACAGAAAAATTGCCAATAGAACTCGAAATCGAGATACTCAAAAATGGGTAGAGAAAAAATATAACTACCAGCAGCGTAGCGATTTGAGCACTACCAACTATTTTTCGCCTGAGGAGAGTGGGAATGTAGGGACAGATGGTAGCAGTGGGATTTTTCGTGGTCAGCGAGAATTTGTAAATTCGAAAGTTCATCGTTCTGGACGTGGTTCCTCACTCGTAAATTCTCGTAGCGGTAGAGGCTATGGTCGTGGTAGCTTTTTAGGAATGCGTCGTGGTGGTAGTATGCCGCATCAGAATCATAGCGCTGAGCAAGTACGTCGTCCTCAAAATAGATATCGGAATCAACATCGTGTCAATTGTCAAGAACCAGAGGTTATTTTCTCAGTTTGTAGTTTCGAATTCTTTTGAATAATTGCTGCGATCCTAACTTTTTTGTATCTCCGGAGTATATTTACGAATAATTGACGATTACTGTACAGGAAGATAACTTTTCAAACATGGGAGAATTTCGTGTCGAAGATACATATCTAAATACGGCTGTGGTCAATGAACCTTTGGTAGAAGATAAAGCAGATGACGAACTCTCTGGCACTGCAGCAGTACATAAAGAGGAGCGTCATACGCCAAATAAAAGTGTCAGTCGTCAAAGTGGTACTCATAGAAGCGCTCAACAGTTGTATGAGCCTAAGAAGCGTCAAGAATATGGTCGCATAGGGAAAAGAGGTATATCTATACAAATTTCTTGATTACTCGTTCATTCAGTAAACTATGTATTATTTATTTTGCGCTTAATACCATTGGAAGTTGTTTTTAAGCTCTTTCTTCATAAGTTTTTTGAGTCCTACTCACGAATTGCACGATACTTTCCCATCTTATGAAGCAATAGCTTGAAGTTCTTTGAACTTGCAAATATTGATTTTTTGTTTTAAATACTGTTTTTTTTTCTGCTGAGACTATTGATTTTTGTTCAATACTTTGCCATTTTTAGGTGGTCGCATCGTTCCAGCGAAAATTGATGTTATACGCACTAGTGATGTGCGTGCAGTTGATGCCTACCAAAATCCGCCTGAAAGGGGAAAACGGAAAAAGGCTAATGATGAAAACAGAGGATTAGAAAATGATGGTTCACGCAGTAATGAATTATGTATACGAGGAGGACGAACAGCGCAGAATGTGCGTTTAGCTTTGTGAACTTGTGTCATATGCCATTGATTTTTCTGCTACATTTAACTCCTTCAGAAGCCGAATCTAACTAAAAGAAATAGGCAGAAATAGAATACTGGAATTTATGAAGGGGTAGAAAGTTGCATGTTATTGTCATATTGAATAAAATTTTGAAAAAGTTCATGTGCACTTTTAGTGCACTCGTAATTTAATGCTTTTATATCTGCTGATTGTTGCTTTTTAAGTGGTTTCTGCAAAAAATAGCTCATTTTGAGAAACTATAACTTTTTATAGACCCGTGGATCCAGAAATGCTGATGTGCACCAAGCTAAAACTCATAACGCTAATGTGGCGGATGGTTTTACCGAACGCACTGTTTATTTGAAATCACCTGTGACTTCGGAAGGACATGAGGAATGGGAAACAGCTTCGGAAAGTAGTGATATAGCTGATCGACAGAAGTAAAAAATTTTACTCAAAAATTTATATTGAGATGAAATGGCTATAATTATTTTGCAACTTGTTAAATTTATTGTTTTTAATTATTTTTAGTTCCAATTTTTGAAAGCATTTATATCTCGGATTACAAAAGGAAATTTAGTTTCGATTTAATTAGTTCGTTCTCATCAAGTTTTTTCTTAGACATATGCGACGACCGAATGTGCTACCAAAATATAGCAATTCACGTAGAACCATGCGTTCGAGTAATGGTATGTCATTCAGTAATTCAGTAAAATGTTCATTGCTTTATTGTTGAAGTTTTTTATTCTGTTTCTGAAGCTTAGGAATACCTGTTTCATTGATTTTGATCTTTAGTTTACATATTGCTTTTGACATGACTATATAGTTGGTAATAATTTAAATTACGAACTGAACTTTCTCAACCAAACGTAAGGAATACTCTAGGGCATCGTGACAGCACCGGTACTGCGCCTATTCGTACTGCAATCAACTCAAAAAACGTGAAACCCGCCAGCACTACGTCGCACGTGGTCGCCCGCAGCGCCCAATTAGCAAAAGAAGTGAGTGTTGTTGCTTTTTCTCTTTATTATTCTGCGCATTCTTGCTTACAAATGGAATTTAAATGTCACTTAATGAAACAGGAAGCAGCGCAGATAACACAGGGTGAAGCAACACGAAAGTCAGACACCTGCAAAGACGGGCTGGCGGGAGTCGACATCAATAATGCAGGTGTGATCGTCATAGATGATCGTCCAGACAGACAAGTGGATGATACTGCTGAAAATAATGATGATTTTGAAGAAGTATTGTCTAAAAAAAGTCGGAAACTTCGGCAGCAACAAATTAATGTACAAATTGAAGCAGTATGTTTTATAATTAAGCATCTCTCCGTGTAATGAACTTTTTTAATTTGGTTACGGATTTGAAGCGAAAATATATCTATTAAAAAGTTGCTCTCTGTTAACACTGGCATTTAATCAGCTATTTTGGCGCCTAAAGTCTTATCATAGCTGAATTTCTAGTTTGACCGTGTATTGATTGTGTAGATCTTGTCAAACCCATTATGTTATATATCAATAACCCACTAAGTTATTGATATCAAAATTTTTATGCTCTGTTTTCTATTTTTTTATGCTCTTGAAAGTGTCAACATATTTGCAAACAATGTTTTCTATTCCAGGAAGAACGTAGAAAGTTGAAAGAAAAGGAAAAAATCGAACGAAGAAAAGTGAAATTGTTAGCAAAACGCACAGAAAAGAAATTGGCGATAAAAGATATCAGGACACTTAAAGCCGGTGCTAATGCAAGTAGTGAAAATGATACAAAGTATGGTACAACAAATACAGTTAGCCATGAAGTCAAAGATGTTAATCAGAGTATCAATCGTCTTAGTTTGGCGAGTTCACAAAACACTTTAAACACAACTGTTTGGAACAGTTCGATTATACGAGAGCAAGCGACAAATCATTCACCACCTGTTGAAAAGTGATAGTTTATTTTATACAGATTTTGTTTTACGAAACAATATTTTACGCTTTTAAATTTTTGGAAATTGAGCAAAATCTTGTTTAAGCCGTCCTGTAATTCCGTCGCCAATAGCACGCCCCACTCCGAAAGGAGTCATTTCTTCGCTCTCAAATAGTTCTCTGAAAAAAGAAACTTTATGGAATGGAACAGAGGAAGGACATCATGTTACTCAAAGTGTTTGTTTTTGTAATATTTCAGTAAAAGGTCCAGATGAAAGTGATTATGAGGCAGTTACAATAATTGAGACTTGTTGCTGAAATGGTTTGCATAAATAGTTATATGATGACTTTAATAATAATCAGAACTATGTTATCTCTGTTTTAGATTTCGGAAGGTCCAGTAAAGAAAGGTACTGTGGAATTCGCCACCAATTTCAGTACGACCTCCTCAGTACGGAGAGAAAACAGACAATATGACTTTACATTTGATTCTTCGTTGCAAAATAACGTGCAAGCCTTGGTAAATGCATCATTAATTTCAGATAATTTTGGAATTCTCTAAAGTTCGTATATGTTAGTACAAAATATAATATAATTTAACTCATTTTAGCTTGATTTATAGTCATCTGTTCACTTCGTGTTTACGCGTTTTATAAAAGATTCTTGTTTTCACACTGAGTCAAGTATTAAATGTTTTGTAGAAGGGACCATCGAAAGAAACTTTCTTGTCGAAAACTGATGATACTTCATCTTTAGCAAAGGTTGACATTGAATCAAATGATGATGATTGCCTTAAGCAAAGATTGGATAAAGTTAGTTTTGTGTGTGTGCGGTTATTTTTTTTTCGTTTATTGGTATTATTTTAACCTTTTACATTTCACGTTAGCTCAACTCTTCATTGGTACTTTTCTAGGTAAAGGATTTCTGGCCAGGTCAGCAACAATTTGCTAATAATTTACTTGGAAATGCAAACGAAAATTCTGGAATAACACCATTAGTCACTGATAAAGGTGGACCAGCTAATAATGTTGGGGTTTCATCAGTGCCGCATGGACCAAATGTTGCAAAGGTATAATATTAATTTTGGAATTTCAATAATAACCGAAGTCTTATCTAAATAATTTTTAATGGTATATTTTTTTTAGGTACGACCTCAGCCTCAGGCTAGTGAACAAGTATCAAGTGGTGCTGTAGCAAACCTAAAAGAAACAAGTTCATCAACTCCATTTGTTTCACTTTTACCGCCACCTTCCCCTATAGCTTGCTTGCCACCTGGTACTCTACTTTTATTTGAATTTGTTAACGGATTTTATGGCAAACAGATATAGTTGGAAAAATGGTTAATACATATGGCAGTTATTTTTGCTGTAGTATGTAGAAATGTATAATTAAATTCAAGTTCGAGTGTAAAACATCTAAAATCTGCACGATTTATTGCCATTGTATTCAAATCTTTAAGGAACTTATTTGCAATCTCTGACGCAGGTTCCACCTCCTGCACCTTTTCCTCATTATTCTGTGATGTTCGGTGAACCATATAACCCAAATTCAAATTCGTCCACTGCATCTTCTGCACCGGTAAGTACTTTCTTTTTGAAACTGCAACAAAGCAGTTGATATTAAAGTCTCACATCACACTTTTCGAAAATTATTCATATATTATGTTTCTGTTGCCAAATAGTAATTACTTTTTTATTTTATATACTTCATTTATACAGGCACTTATTGGAAATGCTGTATCAGCAAGTCAAGCGCAGACAACTCGTTCACGACCTGCTTCATTTGTTGAGCAGTCGCAGCTTTTTATTCACCCTCCTCCTAATGGTGCTGCGGGAAGTAATATAACATGGTCGAATTCTAGTCCTCAGATTGAATTGCTCGCTAGAATTAGTGCCACACCTCCTCTTCCATCTCAAGCTGTCAGTTCTGTGCAACGCTTTCAAGTTAATCCGGTTGGTATCTAAATATCGTTTTATATTGTGTGCCATTTTAACTAATTTCTTTATGGGTCTAAGAGAGAACGAAATTCTTAATCGTTTGATCATATGAAAGCCTTAAGATTTACTCAGAGCATAAAGTAGTTTGTTTTATTGCACTTTTTGAAGATTATTTAAGTTTTTGTTCTTCGTGAGTTCAATATATCAATTTTTTAGCCTCGTTCAACTTCTTCCTTTGGTCCTGTACCCTCAATTTTGAGCAACAATGGTAAGATTCCACATTTAGGACGACCTCCGCCACATACTCATCAAGTTCCTCCGCCATTACACCCACCCCATAGTTTCATGGCTCCTCCTCCTGATTTTGTGTCTTTACAAAACACCAATTTGAATTCGATTGGTAACCAGCATAGTAGTGAAGCACAAAATACAGCGAGCAGTCTCTTATCTAGAAATGCAAATGGTGTTATCGGACAAATTCCACATTTGCAACAGGTTACTTGCATTTGTCATTACAGCAGTAATTATTGGAATTGATTATATATTTTGTCATACATTGATTGTATCTTTGCGTTTTACTTAATTAGGTAATTCAATTATTTGGAAAATCACATATCTTCATCTTTCATTTATTGCGGTATCGTAATTGGAATTTCGATCTCCAGTTTCTTCTATAATATTGACACTAATTTATAAATATGTATATTGTATTTTATGAAACATTTTTAGGCATTAAATTTTTCGCAGCCATCTCAAACAGGGTATTCCATGTCAGCAGCTGGAAATTTTAGTCAAACACCGCAACTCCATCCGTTTACAGCCCCTCCACCACCAATACGATATCCCGCAGTTCCGCCACAGCTTTCTAACAATGAAGGAAATGGCGTAATGGCACCTGGTTGGGCCAGAGCACAGACATTATCTTTCAAGTATCCAAGTAGTACGTTTTTATGAAATTCTTACGTCTCAACTAAATATATTTTTCTCTCTCCTTCTTGTAAGCAAGAACAAACATTCAATTCATTATTGTAGATTTTCTAAGTTACTATAACCTTTATGCAGATGCTGTTCTTCCTGTGAGTCGTCCCGCACTTTCACGTTTGCAAGCATCGGATCGTTGGGTAGTACCAGTGAGTCTGCCTATGCAGCAATATCATGGTATACAAAATTACCAGGTTTTTTTTGCCTCTAAAGGTGCTTGTCTCCATTCAAAGCAGATTTGCTGGAGATCTAATGTTTATTTGCAGAATTAAAGTTCATGACATTTTATGTTTTTTTGTAGTGACCATGAAGATTAATTTGATGATGCAATCATCAAGATTTGATTTTGTTTTAGCACCATAATGTTAGTAAGGATGGTAGTGACGTAATGATTCACAGCAGCTTTCAAAGAACGCTTGTAAACAATACGCGAATTCAGACGCCTGAAGACACCAGCATACGTGCGAATTCGGTTTCAAGTATTTCTGCTTCTGGTGGTACTACGGAATCATTGGATATAAGTTCAAATCGACGAAAGAAGACGGCTAAAGTTTAAATGTTCCACTTAGATGAAAGTGAAGCTTAGTTAACTAAATGGCAGTGGTCGCAGCAGTAGCAAATAATATTGAATATTATGATTGCATAATGTTGAATATTATTTGCTACTGTTATTATTTATTTACTTATTAGAGCTTGTATAATGAAGAAATTTGTAGGAGGTTGTTAAAGAAGTTTTACGAATTGAAAAAGTATAAGAGCCATTTCTATTTTTTGCAGAGTACTCTGTTCATGCTTTAGCTATTCGTTTCAATTTTTATCCAAATTTTACTAACCGTTCAACTCACTTTCTTTCTTTTATTCTTGATGGTTTGAAAATCTTTTTTCGTAACAGTAAGGTTTTTTGTGGTTTTTAACCGTGCCATAAAGTTATTGACTTGATTACGTTTTTAATTGATCAGTGTTAGATTTTCAGTAGATTCAGAACAAGTGAAATTCATGTAGGAGGTACTTCAGAATGAATAGGGTAGTACTATGAACTGATGAACAAAATATCTGTTTGAGGTGATCGCTTCATGACTCTTTTTTAAGTTTTCAATTTGTTTATTATTACTATTTGTGATGTATTATTAATTGTCTCATTATACAGCTTAGTTTTATAATAATCTTCATAATTTTGAGATATGTTTTCGAATCCTTTCCGATAAAAATTGTCATGTTCATAACGATTACATATGAAATTTGCTTTCTTGTCGTACATTTTGTATCACTTTTATCAGAGTAGCATTGACATTATCATCTGGAGCAATCAAATAATTTTTTATTTGGGTTCTTCAACATTTGTTTTAATTTGCTTTTTACTAAATTGTATTGCATTCTTGCATTCAGAAACATGATTAATAACGAGACTCATTTCATACTGATTCTGTTATTCATGAAAAATCACGGCTGGTTTTAATTTTTTTCAGGGGCTTAAATGAAGTGTATTCTACATTTTGAAGTGAATCAAGTAATTGAAATGAATTTGTGCTTAAGTTGGAACTCTGTCTCGTATAGTCTAGCATAAAGAACTTATATAGATTGAAGATATAATGTATATTTTAAAAATGTTACAGCCCATTGTCAAAATATTAGTTGATTGGTTTAAATGAAGTGAAGCTTAGTTATTAGTCATATTTCCCAGTAGATTTTATGCTCTTTGTGTTATTTGCTATAAAGTTGATTCATACACTATTTTAAATCTCCAAGTAAATTGTCTCTCCGTAATATTTTGTTTTTTTTCGAATGTTTTCCTGTTACTGAGTTGTATTGTCTTTGATATTTTCTCGATATTTTCCAGTAGAAAAAATTTACCAGTGAAGTATTGTACGTTGTTCACATTATAAAAACAAAAACGGTTCCAGCCGGTCAGCACATATTATTTCAATTGACGTATGCCAATTGTGTGTTCGACGTTGGATGACTGTGTATCTTGGAGAGGGTACATAAAGGTATTGCAGTACTTGTATAAATTTTCTCTCAGTCCGTGAAGAATCAAATATATGGTATGCACTATAAGGTTAGGTCACTTTTCAAATGAGGGTTGTGTGTTGTGGAGCTATTGTAACTACTTGCATGATGCATTTGGTAATATCATTTAGAATAGTTGTGGGAAGATTTGTCAGACACGATTCCTGTTTCTCATTAATTCAACTCTGTTTCTGTAATGATTGTCTTTATAATCGGGCACTTCGCTGATTCTGGGACCAATTCTAAAGCTAAGAGATACCATTACGCTTCGTAGCAAGCATATAGGTTACACTACTTTGGTTCAAATCTGTAATTGAGTTCTTATTGGAGTGTGGGCTCTTGCATTATATGTTTTTATTCAATTATGGTTGATTGATCGTCTTGCGCTATGCACTGCTAATAACTAGGTGAGCAATATCTCGTTTTTAGCTAGCACATGTCTGCCATGGAAGCAACGTGTTCCAAAAAACTTTGGCAAATCGTTTCTGTCTTGAAGTGCCGTAATTCGAGTATTACTCATCTACACGTGTATGGTACGAGCGCTGGTCCGAAAGATGAAGTAATGCAGAAAGTTATTCAGGAAGTTGAAGACAGTGATGAAGTTTGTATCCATTTTTCTTGGGAATCTGTGTTGATCTTGTTGGGTATTATCAGGTTATAGTTTAGAAAGATGATTGTAGTCCTGAAAGAGTTGGTGATTATGTTGAAGTCTTTATAAGAAGTAAGATTTTTGGTCTGCTTTTCTTTGTAATATGTCAAAATAAATATATAAAAATTGAAATGTAAACCCGGGATCATGCTACTTAGCAGTTTAATAATGTATGTTTATAAAAAGTTGCAAGCCCCATATATCGTTACAGGTAATGGTTCTACGGGTGAATTGCTACATGAATCACAGATCTCACAAGTTATTTTGTCGTGGCTTGTATAACTTGTTACCGCATTCAAAGTCTGGAAAAAAAGTCGATGATTTGGAATCTGTATTTGAAGAGTGCAGAGCAGAGTTAGAGTGTATGAAATCGGCTGTTATGGTTATTGTATTGAATGACGCTGAGATGCTGCTTAATTTTTCACCAAGCTTCTTGCAAGCACTTTTTTCAGTTCCTAAAAAGGTAGTTTTATAGAAGAGTATTTCATCGACAGTTATTTATAACTATAATAAGATTTAAAAACTGACGATATGGGGATGTATTTGATTACGGAAATATAATGATTAGGATTTGTAAGTGTGCAAATATTTCGTTGCTTGCTTTTATAAATTTTCAGAGATTATGTACTAGTTTGTTATTATGTGATTGGGGATAAGTTTAAGCAATTAATTCACCTACGAAGATTGTTATGTCTTTAATGGAGTTTCCTTCATTAATTAAGTAAAAATTTGTACACAGTATGGTGGCACAATAAAATTGGTTTCGGTTGCTCGATTGCCATGGACACGATTTGAAATTACGGAACATATTTCGTCACCTGTGCAGTTTGCTTTTGAAGCGTTTTCGAAAGGTTTTTTTTTTTGTTTTTTTTTCTTGATTTAGCAAACTCATAAGCATTTAATAAATGCCTCTATACATGTATGTTGATCTAAATGACTGCTTAACTTAGAAAAAAAACACACGATAATAGCATTAAAGAGATGTTAAGCTGCTTCACCTGAAATTCCAATCCTAATAACAGAATGTTCTATGAAAAAATTTTTAAAATAATAACTGGAGCTTAAAACAGATAAATAAAATTGATAGGAAATAAGGTGTTGGGGATGTCATTATTGGTACATTCTCACTAGGATGCTTATCATTCCTTATATCCCTTATTGTTCATCTCTCATTTTAGGAGAAGTTCAAGAAGCTCTGTCATCGCGACTCAGTTTTGACACTAATTTTGTACGATGTATGCTTGATATGGTTTATTCCGTATGCCGTGATTTGAACCAATTGTCATATATCGTAGGTTATTTTTTTCATAATGTCTTTCTTTTTTGCTATATTTATCTACATTTATCATGTACATCAGCACGATTTCGAAGAAAAATAGCTTTCTGAATTGTTTGTTCATTCCTATGTATGTATTCAGATTGAAAAACTTTGGGACACTGGAGCTGGAGATGGAAAATGGCTAAATAGTGCAACATCAAACAAGCTAAAGACTTGCTATGCTTCTGAGGGGCAGAATCGAACTGAAGAACTGTTCTATCGAAGCGAGAGCAAACTGGTAATTTACTATTGTTTTCAGTTGTTAATAGGCATAGGCAGTTTTTCCATGTGATGTGAAATTCAGAAATTTTTTTGTTACAGGACGATGAACAAACATTTTGTCTTTCTATAAGCGCGAAGTATTTGTTGATCGCAGCTTATTGTGCTAGTTATAACTCGCCTAATAGCGATCGCCGTTTTTTCACCAAGGTGAAAATTTTTTTTATGTCTCCGATGTCCCAAGTACTGCAGATTTCACGAAAAAATAAGAAGACTAAATGTTTTTATTTAAGTCAATTCTTATTTTTGTTGCATTATCAAATTTCATTTATTTAAATGTTGTAAATATTGTTTGTGAGTAATGATATGAATTTGTTTTTGGATCTCAGTCTTACTCTAAGTTTCCTCATTTGTTCGCAGTTGTAGCAAGTAAGGAAATTATGACGAAGAGTAAAGAAATTTGTCATGGTTTCAAGACCCAGATCTTCATTTCTGTGCATCATAATGCATCTTTCAAAGTGATAGATCTCACTACTCGTTTATTTATTAAAGTCTGCTTTTAATTTTAGGATTTACTTTAGTAGTTTACACTTTTCTCATTTTATTGAGGGTTTCAACTGTTCACTATCAAAATTAAAAATGTACTTCATCAAGTGGTCTAAAGGAAGTTAAGGATTTTACTGTCGTATGTTATGTATGAATTGGCGTTGAACAATACTTGGTACTGATAATAAAGTCGTGATTTCATTTTCAGTGATGAAGTGTTTATTATTATTATTATTATTTATTTTAGAATCACGGAAAACAACGCCGCCGTACAACAACAGCAAAAGGAATTCGAAACAACGCAATTTCAGCCCATGAAACGGGCCCCAAACCATTCTCTTTACAAAGATTGCTTTTCATTTATCTTTCAATGCTTGAAAAGCATGACATGAGTACTCAGTGTGCTGCTGACATTAATGCACAGGTTTACTTGTTGAATAATTGGAAGTTGGTGATGGAAACATGAGAAAATTAGATTTGAGAACATCCTGATTTTTAGTTACACAGTTAAAGTACTTGGTCTTTAAATGTGCCTGCAAGATATCAATGGTATATCACTGTCTCTAGGTTGCGGAGCTATGCGCGATGGGTTTACTAAATCGAGTATCTGCTGATGGCAATCTGGATACACCAAAATATCGTTGTATCATTACTTTTGATTTTGCAGAGCAGTTAGCAAAGTTAGTTTACAGTTTTATCAGTATATAAATCTTACCTATAAATGTGAGGCGTGCTTATATGCAGACTACATTAAAATGTTTCTTATAATAAATTTCATTTCTTTAGAGCGATGGGTATAAAAATTCGCGATTTCCTTATTGATTTTTCGCCGTAAAAGTATTGTGAGTTTTTTTTTATCGCCTGATCAACTTATTTTAATTTTTATTTGAAGACGAAAAAACTATTTTAATACTAGTCGCTTATTTCGGGCATAAAATTTAATCGCAGTTAACTTCAGCAGAGCTACTAAATTTTCAGATCTTGATTCAATGCAGTTTAGTTTTTACTGTACAGAAAATACTTTAACTGATAATGTGGAGTTTTCTGAACTTGTCGTATTATAATAATAAATTATAGGAGGCACTTTCAAATGCATTTCGAGGTTATGTTATGTTCATGATTATCTCTGCGGCAGTTTTATTAAACGACTGATTTCGGTTTTCTTACAGAAACAATTACAGTGTGTATGAAGTACAATTCAAAGTAGCACAAGCGGCAGTGTGGGAAAATAGTCGCTTTCATTCTTTAGCTATAACTTTATCTGCTACTACTTTTGTTTGGTTAGCTGTACTCTTTATGCATGATAAAAATCTAACGCTTTGGATTGCATAGGAGATGAATTTAATTTTGCAAAATCGATTTGTAATGGTAATGTACTTTCTACAGAAGAAACTTCCAGTTAAATTTTGCTTGCAGTGCAATTGAATTTGCTTTATATCGTGAAGTAATTGTACCCAATATTTTACAATAAGAAAATTTTGTCTTGTTGGTTTTCGTTAAACAAGAGATAATCGTCGTAAAAGTCTAGGAAAAGAGTCTACATATATTTGTTTATTAGAAAGGTTGAGTAATATTTTGATGAACTTTAAGTAGAAACAGTATAGCAGCATCTAGAAACGCATTCAATAATATTTAGGAGTAATGCGTTGCGAATAAAGCAGTGTTAAATTTAAACATATGTGAAGAGTGTAAAAATCAAATTTGTAGATACAGAGATTAAGATTCTTGCTTAAATTTGTTCAGTGACATTTCTTAAATGTGAAGAAAATTTGCGAATATGAATTTGGGAGATGTATACAGATGTTGAATTCCGAAATGGATTTGTGTTATCTTTGGATATATGAAACATTTTTTAGTCATAGTTAGTAAATCGAGCAATGGAATTGTAGCCTTCATGGATTTCGTGTTTCGTTTCATTCCAAATATGCATAATCTAGAAGTGTAGTTGTTTCTTTCGTCGTACGGATCCTAGTATCATTATTGTGAGTAGTTGCAGCTATGGGAAGAATTGTGCGAAGAAATAGTTTTCAAGTATGACAATTTCAGCTTAGTCTGTGTGTAGAGAATTGCAAGATGCAATTTGTTGTTTTGGGAATTGCATAACTGTAGCAGTTTGTACGCTTTGTTTGAATATCAACTGCCATCCAGGATGTCTCTTCCATATGGCACAAAGAAGTGCTATAGATGATCTACAAAAATAAGAAATGGTATGCAACATAAAGTGGTTCAGATGCAAGTTTTGATGGTCAATTCATAGTCATTTGCGTTTACTAGTTAAAACAATTTCAAGCACGTATACAGCAGTAGAAGGAGAAATTACTAATGAATTTTTATTAATACATGTGACTACAGCAAAGATTGAACAGTATTAATGTCATGAACTTGCTGATGAAAGCTAGCTTGTTTATCAATTGGTTACGTTATTCTATTACAATAATACTGCGCAGCCTATATTTGGTATTCGAATAATGGAGTCCATTGCTTAATAAATTACTGCAAGAAATATATGTTCCTAAATGTTTTAGAATTTTCAATGACCCATAAATATTTTTCTCTAACAAATACAAGTAACTGCCTTACAGTTATTGTATTCGGTAAAAAGGGTTATGTAAGCACCTTCCATTTCTGATTCATCCGTTTTTTTTTAAAAAAAAGAAAGAAGCTTGACACTACTTTGTAGTAAATGTTATAACAAAATAAAAATTAGATAATTTTTGAAGATGCTAATTTCTATTCAACTATTAGAGCTTAATTACAAAATATGTCAAAAACATAGAATGTTACTTTTTAGAGTTAATTTTAAAACACAAATGTTAATTTTAATTTGAAAAATAAAACATATCTGACCATTTGTGTCACTCACAGAACTATGTCAAGAGAATAAGATTTTTACTAATATGAAAATACAAAAGCATCATATACATCTGCTTAAGAATTATATCAGTGGTGCTTTCAAGATTCATTCACTCGTTGTTAACGCCAAAAACTTATGCCGTAAACACTTTAAAAGCATCATTTCCGTGTTAAAATAAATTTTATCACTTGAAGAAAGTTTGTTTTTTTTAAATCAAAGATAGAATGTCGACACATTCAGTATAAACTACACGATTGGGATAGAAGTGATATTTTACTTGGCCAGATGCAAAAAGTCTATGAAGGAATTGAAGTTAAAGCTCTAAGAGAGTGGTTAGCTTTTAATTATGCATAATTCAAGTGATTACTTTGTGATTGCATTTATAGCTTTACCCATGAAGTGGAATAATGTTAATAAAAAATGGATAAATTAAGCAAACTAATAGATCATTTAAGATATGTTTTGTTTTATTGCAATGAGCAAAACACAATTCACTTAGCCATAAAACTAAAACTGCAATTTGCCTCTTCATGAATAACATTAATTCAAATTGATCATGCATTGACCATTTGATGTTTGAATATATTCATTTATATCTCATAAACTTAAAACGCGCTATTTAAGGATGACTTAGATTAATTTATCTTGAACAAAATTAAAATTGATTTTAATCCACACGTCTGCATAAATTATTTATCGCATAGGAATAAGGCGGTTTTATTTTTAAATGATATAATCGTTTTTTTTTAATAGATAAAAAGTTTCTAATTTTAATTAATATCTTAATTGTATACTGAATCTGAGCTAATTTGTCATTTCGAATTTTTATTGTTTTTCTGCATGAAAGATTATCAATACTTTAATATATCTCTTTCACTGTTTACGTCGTAAAGTAATTCAAGTACATCATAAAAATTGTTTTATACATTATAAACGAATAATATATTGCTCTGTTCACAGTTTTGACATTTAATTAAATCATATGGAATTTAATACTGTAAGACGTAAAGCGGCTCCTTACTGAATTAACAACTACTCCTGCACTAATTTTAAATTTATATTTATTGCTCGATGCATCTTAGCCCACTCATAACAGCTTTCTCACAATTGTGCAATATTGTATTATTCTGAATCAAAAATTTGCATTTTTTGCCTTTTTGCGTAAGCAGAAAGTTTCCATTTGCTGTAATCCTTTTGATCTACGTATAATTTTTACCTTTTTAAGTCCACTTATTTCATTACACAGCACGAGTAATGCACGTGCTTACTTTGTAAGATAACTATTTAGTTATAAATACAAAAGTATATTCATAATACAAGATTTCTCGTTTTAATCGTTATTTTTACAATAGTTTTTGCTAAAATTTATTTAGTGAAAATTCAACTCTCTTTACTTTTTAAAAAGGCTTAATCTCATAAAATTTGATTTTATTATAAATTGAATGATAGAAAAGTTTTTTTATTATATATATATATTTGTTTGTATGATGATGTTGATTTTTTATAATTTCCGCCTTTACTAATATTACTTCTGTACATAATAAGTACTAGCAATCAGATGATACAAATAACGTTTATTATTATCCTGCGTGAATATTTAATGACAAGTTAAGATGCTTAAAAGTTAATCAAAATTACTGACATTTATGCTCTAATTTTCGCATTTGTTGATTTTAGCGGCTTTAAAGAGTCATTTATTAAAACAAATAATTAATTACTTTGTAGTTGTGTATTTTTCTATTTATTTATTGGTATGCAAGAAGAAGATTAACAACGAGTAAATTGAATCAGAAAATGCAAGTAAATGCTTCAACCATTTTACTGAAAAAAATGAATTGCAGCGCTAATTTTGAGAAAATTTTTCTACTATTATTATTATTATTATTATTATTATTATTAATGAAAAAGAATATTTAATGTATTTAATATTTATCCAAAATTGAACGCTGCTTTCAAGTGATAAACAAATTTGGCAAATCAAACTTGTTTACCTTTTCAAATATTAATTTACACCTGAAGAACTTTGTAAATGAATAACAATTTGCATGCATAAAATACGCTATCATATCATGTAGTAAGTAAGTTATTCAAAAGTAATTTATTATTCAATCAAGCAAGAAAAAGATTGCTTAATTTTGCAGCAATTTATATTTATATTAAATAAGTGTGAAAACATTATTGCAATAATAGAAAACAGATGAATGATTAGAGCAAATAATTTTATACTTTGAAATAAGTAATAGTGTTTTTCAGTCTTACTTGAAATCTTAATTACTATTTTGTTGAATTAATTTGAAAATAATGACATTAAGAAAAATGTTCCAAAATAAAAAATGAAGATAACTCAAAATGCGTTAGTTGTGGAATGACTGCAAATAGATAATTTAAGCTTTATCAATTTCAAATCTTGATAATTTATTTGTGCTATATACTGGTATTAATTTATGTCAAGTCTTGTCTGACATGAATAAGGACTCATCAACATAATTAAAATAATTAAATGAATTAAACACAACAAGGACACTTCTTAAATAATTACTTTTAAATAATTATACTTTGTCAGTGATATTCTAATCAGTCAGTTTTTGGAGCGGAGTAATGCAGGTGGAAAAACATGCATAAGTCATTTTTTGAATATAAGTAATTTATAGTTGTCATAAGATTATTATTAATGAATTTTCACTTTGAAAAAACAAACGAATGAATGCATTTTGTCTTGCATATCTATTAAATATAAAGAGCAAAACTTTAAAATATGAATAGAAATTTTGTTTAAACAAAATTTTTTGAACTATTTAAATAGTTCAAAAATAAAATATTAAAATGTCAAATAGCTAGCGTTGCATCAGTGACTTTCTAATGTTGAAAAAATGTAAATTTCAATATTTGAAAGTTTTTGTAATGAGTATTAAATATGGAATAAGGCTTTAGGCTCAGGCTTAGACTTAAACTATTTACAACTTAGAAACATCAAAAATATTTCTCTTAGACATTTTTTAAGTAATCGACTAAATTTTTAATCAAAACTGTTGCTGCCATAATCACTTCATTATTAAATTACTTAATATGTTTCGTAGGCAGATTGCTTTTGGTACTTTTAAATAAGCGAAAATCGGGCAAATAAAAAAATTTGTTACTTTATAATGAATATTTATAAGCAAAGATAATAACGTGCCAAGTATGCGTACAATTAATTTCTGCTTATATCTAAATAGAGCTTTTTTTTTTTAATTTTGGGCAATTTATTCAAATTGAAAAAATCTACGAGGAGTATTTTTGTTGTTTCAAACTCGTAAATAGTTCAATTTGTCTCATTCCATATCTAATTTTCATCACCAATATATGACACTGCTCAATTTCCAAGAGTTTTTCCACAGTTTTCAAATTTAGATGCTAGATATTCTTCAAACTAATAAAAATTATCACTTTTCTTCTATCTAAAACGCATGGAATATCAATGCTTACAAATAATAAATGACTGCAAATGATTCTTCGCGCACATTTTTGCATTTTGATTTTATTATTATTTGCTAATTTTTTCTGTATTTTTGTATAATATGCATAATTTAATTGATAGATAAATAAATGAATACTTTTTATCTTAAATAAATTCGTACTGTGCTGATTGATTGATGTGCTATCTTTATCGTTATCGTAATAATCAAAATATCACTACTGCTTCTTTGTTAAATGTCAAAAAATTAAATTTTAACGATCAGTAAGCAGAAACTTTTATTATTCAGACATGTAATTGCTGACGTTAAAGTATTTTTCCACTGAATATTTAAACTATCATAAATACTGTTGTAAAGTAGTCTTTCAGTAATAATACCAACCACAAATTAGTTAATCCTTAATGTTGTTTTACAGGCATGGAAATACTGAATTCAACTCCTGTTGAATTCAGTAATTCCATTCCATTCCATTCCATTCCATCATTGCTTCATATTTTAGAATTTGCTTAATTTTGTCAGCAAAATTTATTCTTACAACAAATGCAGCAACTGAAATTTGAATATTAAAACAAGATTAATATTTACTAAAATTTATTGAGTAAAAAATTTTGGCATTTTGGTACTGACTTTTTTTGATATTTTAAAACTGATTACATGCATACTTGAAATATTTTTCGTAATTATTCTCCAAACTAAACAAGATAGTTTGCATTTTCAATTAAAATAATCAAATTTATTTCAGTACTTTTTACAATTTTATTCTTGAAACAGAATTTTCCAATTGGTTGAGAAAATTAAATAAAAAATATTACATGTCTTGCACTATCGGTGTCTAATTCAGAATTTAAGCATTCCTGTTTGTATGTCAACAAGCATATCTTCATTCTACCCTTTTTTCCACAACATTTGTACACTCACACATTATATGTTAAGTAGACTTTGGGTTAAAATGCCATATTTTTCCATGACTCATTACTGATTTAAATGCTCAATATCCTTTACACAAATTTCATGCATTGTACTAACAGCTAACTTCTTTAAGTACGTGTAATATCTTTCTACGTAAAAATGAAATTAAATATTGACTGATTCCTTTATTACGCTTATTTCTTCATTTGCTATTAAAATTGAAAATTAGGGATGACGCTAAAACTCTCTTAAAAATTTAAATCCAAATCACCGTACCATAAAATTGAACAGAAAATTTTACTTACTTCAATTACGTTCTTTTACTTTTGAGATTTCTTTAGTACTTAATAAATTTTAATTTGTTTTAAAATTATATTCTTATCAAGAAAATTTGACTGTAATTTACAAAAATTTTTGAAAATTTTGTAGCTTATTTTTTTGTAACGGAAATAAATTCATACAATTTCGCATGCGCAATTTTTCTAGCTTGCTGCTTATTTGATAAATTTTATACAAATGACATATATCCTACATTTCAGGTTAAAAAATGTCAAAAGGGACTTTATATGCATCACATCATTTTACTGTATGCTTATCGTTGCTTACTATTCTACAATCCGTGACTCCAACTTTCTACTCCAAAAAACTCACTTTTAGCCGTAATTTTTTTCTTGGAGTTAATTTAAACAATGACTAAAACTGAAATACTTTTTAAAAAGTTAAAAGTTATTTTGAGAAAATAATTTAAAAAATTATTTGAGCTGAAAAAAGTTGTAAGAAGAAAACTGAAGGAAATTTACTGAAATAACAAGAGCCTTCCAAAACTAAACTAATGAAGAATATAAAATCAAGCTTAGAACTAAATTTATAGTTATGTATAGTTTCTCTCCAGGAAAAAGCTGAAAATTGAATAACCGTTTTAAACGATAATCATAATTTCACGAATAAATTCCTAAATGCCTTCAAATAAATAACTCTCATAAAACTTTTAATAATGCATACTATTTGGTAGGATAAATTTGGCACTTCCGGATTGAATTCTTAAAAATACAATGTCTCTTTATAAAAAACAGCTCGCATTTTTATTTACAATTTTTGTCTTTTTAATTAATCAAAAGATGACCAAAATATTATTCAAGTATAAACAATGTTATCGCGTAAATTTGCTGATAAATTATGTAAAATAGTTAGAAAAATTGCGCAAATGACTCTTGAACCTTTCAGCAGAAGAGTTTCTGGTCACCTATGTACCTTCTGAAGGTTTGTTACTTCACTGCATGTATGAAAATGAAAAAATTATTAATAAAAAATACTGCATTCAATGTTGAAAAAGTATGTATAGATATTGTTAGCAAAAGTTACTTCTGATCCTGATCTTTTGACAAAACAGCTCTATACAGAAGGAATATTTTTGTAAAAATATGTTTTTTTGGAATTTTTGCTTTATTGCTAGTGACTTCATTTACGTTTTCATAAGTAATTTAACAAGTAAATCAATTTTGCTGAAAAATAAAATTTAGATTAAAAAACATGCATAGAAAAGCTTGACAAATGTTTTAAACGTATTTGAAAAAGTTGGATATATTTTTTAATTCAATTCAATATTTACTACTAATATTATCGTATAAGTAGTACTAAGCATACTATAGTTGAAATAGTGGTATTTGACATTCATCAAAAGTTGGATATAACATTAGCAGTGAAGAGTGTTTGAAAATTTTAGACAGTTGGTCTACCAGATTGGACGAACGCAATGATCGAGTACGGATTCTACCTTTCCGAAGACCAACACGGAATAGCGGTAATGGAGATGAAGCACGCTATCAGATACGTCACGTGGGAGATTTGCCCATGTTTCGATTCGGATAGTTCTATTAATTTATTCTAACTGCAGCACATTGGGCAATTTCATATTGCAATCGTTTCAGTTTTACATGATAATAACGTTTTCCACAGATATATGGTTTATTGTATTTCTAGGATTTTTCTTGATTCGTATTTCAATTTAACAGTTTCTTTGTAAAATGCTAATGAAATTATCTGTGAATACCTATTTTTCCCTGATAACGCATGTCCCTCTCAAGTAAGAACTTTGACAGTTTATACAGTTTGTCGTTGAATTCTGAAAAACGCAAAAATTTTTTGGGATTGACAAAAATAATACTATAAATTTTCAGAACAATTAACAAAGATAAAAGTAAATGCTTCGCTGAGACTTCTTTCTTGACTTTAGTCAGATCATCTTTTTGAAAAATAACGAATATATTGTCACAAATATGCCCACTGCGAATATTCCACTAATAATAACTTAATTAAGCATTTATTTGAAAAGAACTGCGTATGTCGTTTGATTTGGTTCAAGTACCGAAGTAAATTTTGAACTGTTGTTTTGCTTCTTTTCAAACATAATAATTCTAGCACACCAAATAAGTACTTATTTAAGAATATAAATGCTTATCACTACAAACTTGCAGTCTTTAGCACAGGTGCTAACTAAAAATTATCCATTTGAAGAATATCACTGCAAAATTATAACAATTAAATTAATTTCATTCTAAACTTTGACCTGTAAAAAGTAACGGCTGAAAAGCAGCAGAGAATTTTTTGCTTTTTTATGCATACTATATGAACAGTTTTTCAAGAGAATTAACTATTAAATTTTTGGAAGGCTACAAAATGAACCCAATAAGACATTTAAAATATAAGAAAATTAATGAATTTATTGCGGTCAGATTTACCCTTCCAGCCACAAAACTTAAACTCGAACATTAATAATCAGAAGAACCAAAGCGCGAGTACTTGACATCCAGACAATGACCAGCTGACCACCTAACTGTGCCATTTATCATAACTGATAGCGTTGCTCAACAAATTTAGCTGACAGAACAATAGAAGAGCTCCAGTTTTGCTAGTAGCTATTTTTTTTCTCGTTTTTCTTCAAATTTCAAATCAGTGCAACCAATATTTGACTGCTTCATTGCATACAAATTTGTTTTCAATAGCAAACATTACTGTGTTATGTATAAATTTATATCTTTCATTTAAATATCGCTAACTGTAAAGAAATAATGTGAAAAAAAATTAAAAATCATATGCAAAAATTGAAATTAAAGCACTATACTTTTAGATAGTAATATAGTTTGGAGGGAATTAAATTTGATAAATACAATAAATTAAACAACATTTATAAACAAAGTATAGTTTTTGTAAAAGGATGAATAGCCAACCCTAACAGAGACACGTGTCTTCCGCTACCCATAGAAAAAGCTGACGTGCCCTCCTTCAGTAGACAGTTTTTAAAGTTTTGTGTGTATGATTGATGAAGGTTTCACGGAGCACTGCCAGTAACCACTCTGAAGGCTGTTGTTGTCACACTTCACCTCAATTTTTCCATTGTCTTTTTGTATTCAATTTGCAAATGCCGATAAATTAATGTGAAATTTTCAAATAAATTCATTCTTTTAACTCATTCACTCTCTTCTCACTCATTCATTCATTCATTCATTCATTCATTTATTAATTTATTAATTTATTCACAAAATTTCAGTGCGCGTTGTGGTTAAAATTGTCTGCTTAATTAATTCAAATTATAATAAATAATTAAAAAAGCGTTGTTGTTGTTGTTGTTTTTTGCTGTATATAGAAGTGGATTTTTATACAATCATAATTTAATCCACAGTACTGTACTTGCTCAAAATTCCTTCTTACCATTTTAATTAATTTTTTGAATTTTTATTTTTATTTAATTATTTACTGAAATTTTTTTTTGATTTATTCACGTAATATCTTTTTCAAATATTCTTCTGATATTTTTAAACATTTTAGCTATAAATTTGTAAAAAAGATATTCTTCTTGATTATAAATTTTACTATAAATTATAATCTAAAATGATCTGTAAGAATTTTGATTTACTAAAAATTATAATCTAAAATGATCTGTAAGAATTTTATGTGAAGAATAAAATATCACATTATCATCTACACAAGAAAACGATCTAATCACCAGCATTGCAGTTCCGTTGCTTGGCGTACCATTGTAGTCAGTTGAAAACTTCTCACACTGAATTCTGTTGTCTAATCTGATCGCAAACCGTTTTTGATGTCTTAAAAAAAGTCTCACGTGAATTTATATCACTTCTTTTCAGCACTGATATCCAAAGAATATTTTCTGATTAATGTACCCTTCAATTTTTCTAAATTATACCTTTATTAATTATTTATTTATTATACCTTTATTAATTAGTTACAAAATTAACTAAATTTTATTTGATTTCAAATTCTTATAACTAATAGTATTTGTAAAAACTTTATAACATTATTTTGTTCTCTTCTTCTCATAAGTTACTAATTCTTAGATAATAGTCTAACTGTAGCAAATTAAGCAGAAATATCGCATCATACAATCAGTAGAGGCATTAATAATGAAAATTCCTCTATTAATTAGCTACATTTCGTTTCTATTAACTTGAATAATTTAGATGAAATATAATTGCAGCTGAGCTGACCACAAAGTGTCAGCTGTTCTAGAGATCAAATTATTACAACTATAATTTATAGTTTTATCAAATATCATTTCAGTGTAAATTAAGTACAAATTATCGTATTAAATTTGTTATATTAATAAATTTTTAAATGATTATAACAATTTCAAGTCATTTTTCTTACTTGATCTTTGATCATCTTTTATTCTTCTCACTACGAACCTTTTTGTATAGTCATTTTTCTTTCTTCCAAAACTTTCACTTTTATTTTTCATACTTTCACAAAACGTCCCTGAAAATGCCTTACAACAAAATGCCTAATGTCCCTGAAAATGCCTTATTTTTTTGCTTACTGAAGCAAAGTTTATTATTGCGGAATGCAAAAAACTAGTCCTTACTTCTTTTTTTAAGACAAAGTATGGCACTGTGCAGAAAATTGTAATCATATTTTTGAAGCGAATGTAATGCCTCAATTTTGAATATTTTATATTAAATATAATAATGAAATAATTTAAATTATTTAAATTATTGAATTAATGTTTAATTTTTACAAAGTTAATCAGCTGAACTTTGTTAAATTTTTAAGAAATATTTGCTGACTTTTTTGCAAACTTTAATTGATGCATTTTCAAATGATAAATGAACAATTTTATTTTTTAGCAGAAAAAATAGTCTAATGAAAATTTTATGCCAATTTTCGTTTTCAAACCCAAACCGCTTCATACGTCAGACTAAATCTCCCTTAAATTTTATTTGATCTCTAAAATAAGTGATCGTTCCATTCAGTGTAATTTATACTGAGTGTATGTATGTCAGTATATCAGCTTTTCAAGTAAAGAATTTTCTGCTTATCCAAGTAAATACAATATTTTGCAAACTTTTTGCACAAATTATTTTAATAAATTAATAAGAATTATAACCTATTTTAATAATATCATATCGTTCAGTAAATACTTTCATCGATAAAAGTAACTCAAACATTTTTATGAAGCAATTTTTGCGCTGGTAACAGCTATATTGGAATAGAAAATAATAAGTTATTTAGTAAATTTTATTTTTGTAGATTTTTTCTAAATTAAACTAGAATGAGTTATTAAGTGATTATTAACTAAGTTTGTCCTTACTTTTACATTGTGATAGATTATTATTCAGGTATAGTTTTTGATCATCTTCTAGCCTTATGTCTTGTTCCTCTCTTAATATTATGCACATAATAGTTTAAAATAATATGATAAAGTGTGACCTTTACAAAGGTTAATACTTACGTGGTTTTTTGTAAATATTTTAGAGATGTGTATTCTTTTTTTTTACACTGCAAAAAATACTTGCGTAAAGAATGACAATTAACCGTTACAGACAAATCTATCTAAGCGTGCAATGATAGAAAGTTCACTTTAAAATGTAACTCGTAGATTTTCGCAAATTCGCAACTCTTAAGTAATCTTGTTTTTAGTTGTTGCGAATCGCTTCTGCTGTACTGCGATTGTTGAAATTTTTCACTCACTTGTAATAACTACCAAAAAAACTTTATAAACTCTTTTTTCTTATTCTGTTCACACAATTTATACAGAAGTGAAAGCTTAGAAATTAAACGTAATATTATTTACAAGCGATCAAAGCTGTGTACCTTGTTTTTATCAGCAATACACAACTAATATTCCCATTCATAATTGTTGATTTAATTTAAAAAAAAGCAGAATTGACAATAAAACAGAAAATAAATTCATGCAGAAGAGAGCAATGCTCTAAATTGCTAATGCTGAATGCAAAACAAAAAATTAAGCGAAAAAATGGGCAAATATCGAGTTTGCCCACTGACCATTAGACACTGTCCAATCTCCTTGCATTCATTTTTGCGTACGAAAATAAAAAAAATGGTCATTTGATTGAATTTTTTACTCACTTGCAGTTATCTGCGAACTTCATTTCTTTCTCTTCACAATTCGTCCTTGCAAATTATCAACAGTACTGAACGGATCGCTTCTATCTTTCGTTGTCCTCATTAAATTCATGCGTTCATCTTTTTACTACTATTTATTTATGAATCTGATCTGATCCAATTCCATTAGTATACCACAACATGTCTTCTTCTACTGAACTCAAGCATAAAACTAAAAATGCACGAAAGATTTGATAAGTAATTCCTGAACGGAGTGTCAAATTATCATTTGCTGCATACTTTGTACCTACCGTCATTACTTCATTCCATATTGTTGACGTGAAAGCAGCTTTTATTTGATTCTCCAACACTGAAGTATTGATACTAATAACCAAATGTACAGAATAATGTATTTATCGTTTGACTAAGAATGAAATTAGCTAACAAATACAGTAAATAATCATAATATTTATCATTTGGATATATTAAGAGAATGAGTGCGCAGTAAACAAAGATATATCGGCAAGTCTCTTCTTATCATTGTTCAAAATCATAGGTCAAAGTTTGATTAATTTTAACCTGACCCCTACTTGCATAGCTTTAAAACTAATCCAAATTTGTACAGCTAATTACAAGCAGTCTTTTATTCATATTAATTCATGATAAAAATAGAACAAGTTTGGTAGAAGAAAAAAATCATTTTTTATTTTTTTTTGTGCACAAAAATTTTGTAAAAAATATTAGTATAAATTTCTTTGTAAGTATAAATTACTTTGCGTAAATTAATTTTTTGCAACAATTCTTGATAATTATAGACTGAGGCGAATTTTATTTCGCTTTTAGTCTTTTATTCTTTGCATTGTAATTAATCCTTCATTTTGCATCTCACCGCCCTCAATGAATAATTTAGTTCTTAAATCGCTGAAAGTATGCAAAGAAGAGAGTAACAACCGCTACAGAACCTCACATCAACCAAAGTAATCACACTGTAATAACTCTGTAATAACTGTAATAACTGTAATAACTTTGGTTTATTTACTCAGTAATATTCATTCCATCAGCTACTGTTTATTGCTCTTAGATATATTTAATCCTCTAACTATTTATTTTCAATCATTTTGTTATTTATTTAGTTTATTTTTAGCCAATTTCTTCTTATATTTATTTTCTTTTTTATTCTATTATTTAATTTCTTTTTTTCAATCATCTAATTCTTAAATGTTTTGCATTTAATAATCTAATTCTCAAATGTTTTTGCGATATTCTAAATTTTAAAAAAATATTATTACTAAGTGATTAAATATTATTATTCATTTATACATTGCGATAATCAAAATTATAAATTTAAATTATCGAATAAAGCAAAATAAAAACAAGAAACT